TCGATCTGCCTGTTCTGCTCCCCTCCCTGTTTCTGGTGAATCCTCTCACCCTCCACATCTCTGGCCTGTACCCCAGCTTTATATGAATACATAAATAAATCTTAAAAAAAAAAAATGTCGAGCATAGTCTCTAAAAATTATTCACCTTAGGTAAATTTTATAGTACCAGCTAATTTTTTTTAATTCTATTTTATAAAGCACCAGGCCCTCCCTGGTGGCACAAAGGGATAAGTTCAGCACTCTGAAGCGATCTGCAGCCACTGCAGCACAAGTTCGATCCTGGCCAGGCAGCTGAGACCGCACGTGTCCCACTCACTGCTCCCCTCAGCAGTGTATTTCAGTCAGTCAGCCTGTTCTGCTCCCCCCTGTCTCTGCTGAGTCCTCTCACTCCCCACATCTCTGGCCTGTACCCCAGTTCTTGTATTCATAAATAAGTAAATCTTAAAAAAAAAAAGCCTACATTAAAGTAACTTGCTACGAAACAAATGGTTTCTATATTTATTGCTTTTTTATTCTATTTCCAAATTTTTTCATGATTTTCTATCAATTTTAATGCTATCAATAAGTTTGCAAGTTTAGGATTTTGAAAAATGGATTGTTTACATTTTTAACATCTGATCTCTTCCATGTTATTATTTTAATATGCCCCCTCATAAATAAGTTGTTTTCCACAAAAACATTACATAGCCGTTTTTTTGTTTCTTAAATGTTTAAAATGTTCTCCACACACTTAAGACAAATAAATTGGAAAACTGTGCAATTTGATTAAAAACAGGCAGGGTTACCAAGTACTAGCATTGTGTCTTCCCAGGATATTTGTTAACCCAACTCTAACAGCAGCAGGAGAGGAGAGGAAGTGGCTTGTCTTAAATAAATGTTTTACTAAACACTATCAACTATGTGACAAGTTCATTTTATCTAATTTTAAGTGTAATTATCTGCAATTACACATGAAAATGTTCACAATTCTCATGTGTTCTGATGATTCTGAGCTTCTGGGGATAAGTTTACTCAGGATAAGATTTGTTCGAATTAGAAATGTGCATCCAGACATGTAGATCAGTCCTAATCCACTTGGATGATCTCTATTTTCATATCCTAACTTTCTAACATTTTATAAGGAATTTACCAGTAAATTCAAAAAAGCTCAATTCTTTTCCAGACATATTTTCCTTGAAACTCTAAAACACATCCACTCTGATATATCCATTTTAGCCAAGCAACAGACACCCTCAATGAAACAGCTAACCCATGTGGACGACTTCATGCCCTCTCCTTAAGAACTCCTGCTTCAAAGCAGAAATCAGATGGAATGGAGGCAAAGAAACAAACCTTGGAAAGTGAACATAACTGGACCCTTAGTCAATTTTTCTTTGTAAATTTTTTAATTGGGAGTTAAAAACCTAAGGTGTTACGAGCAAAAGCATCACTTTTAGTATCATCTGCTAAGTGCTACCATGTGGTCTTTGGAAGTTATTAACTGTCGTCACTTTGATAGACGATTTCGCTTATATGGGGAAAATAGAAAAATCGAATAAAGGGTGACAAAAAAAGTCATAACTTGAATGTTGACCACAGACCTGAGGCATACAGCTGGGTGGGGGAGGGAGATGAGTCAAAAACAGGAGGAAAAAACACCAGCAACTCTGGGCTGGATCATAAGTACTAATGTAGTAGGAGACTATAGCGACTACTGGTAAGGGGGGAAATGAAATAGTGTCAAAAAATTAACATGTAAGATAATAAATAATTTTTATCATAAATAAATGGATAGTTTACCTCCTGCATCCCACTGCCTACACTTCCCCCAACCATAAACAAACAACTCATTCTATTCACCCCAGAAACCAATACAATAGGTGGCTGAGTGAGTGAGTAATGGATGGATGGATGAATGGATGGACAGATGGATGGTCTGACCTAACTTCTAAAAGTACTAGGAACTCCAGAAAACACTTACTTGGTTCATAGTACTCCACTATGGACACTGAAGCATCTTGAGTATTTGAAACTTTAAAGTTTCTCACAGCAGGAATATCAACACAAAACTGGGTTTCATTTACCTTAAAAAATACAAAAAAAAAAATCATAAGGATGCACCAGAACATAGTTCATAATAAAACACTTCTTTCTCTTAATCAGTTGTAAGAACAAAGAAAATTTAGAAATCTATGCAACTGTAACTATTATCTCATTTAACTTGCAAAACAACAGAGGTATTGTTCTTATGTCCATTTTACTGAGAGGCTGAGAACTGCGGCCAGCATAAAGGTACAGGCTCTGGGGCCCTGGGGTCGCACCCACAGGCCCTCCCCCACAACACCTCAGGCAGGGCACTGAAACCAAGTTGCTACTAATGTTCACAGCAGCAGCCTTCTCCAAAGAATTGCTCTCAACTCAGGGGTGTCACCTTACACAGTAAGTGAAGGAGACCAAAGGCAGGGAATGCACCCCACAACCACTAATCTATTGTTACGGGGTACAATAGGCAGCCCTTTTTGCCTCCAGGAGGAGCAGCATGTGACAATATGGCAAACGATGATGCTTTAGGAATCTAAAATTGATAAAGTCCTCAAACATCCCATTATTGGTCAATAACAGTGGTGAAAAGTCAAATTAATCAGTCAAAACATATTTGAATCGCTCAAATTTAAGATGACTATTAACAAGGACATCACAGCTACATCACTGCAAAACAATTTATTATTAAATAGAAAACCTTATTGTAATTCAAGTGCCAGATCAAGTCCTGGCTTTCAAACAGTATTAAATATATGAAAATTCCTGAACAGCAAAAGAATAAGAGACTCTGAATTAATTTTAACAGGGTTTTACCAAAGCAGTCCTGAAACAAATGAGAACATTTAGGAACTAGCTTTTTGAAAGTAGATATAATATGTTTCTGATTCATACTTGGAAAAACTGAAATAAGAAACATACGTATGCCACCCCCCCCCGACATAATACAAAATCTTAAGAACATTTAGAACTCAATGTCTACTCAACCTGTGAGTTCCACACAGATGTTAGAAGAAAAGAATAAGCTTTTATGCCAGCAGCTTTGAGACATAACAAGAGTTCTGAATTCTTCACTTACCTTTCTCTCACATATTTTATGTATTAGTTTTAGATCAGTAATTTTCACAGGGCAAGAAGAGGAGTATAAGGAAGCTATCTAATACTTATTTGTAATGACCAGACCTCTGAGAATATTCTTCTATGATTCAAGTACCTTCCAATGAAAGAATCTTAACCCATTAGGGATTTCATAAAAGCTTCATGAAGGCATTTTAAGACACATAATTAAAGCTTTTATCTTCAGTATTTAAGCAAATATGTTTAGCAATTCCCTGAAGCAGAAGAGCTCTCAAACTGAAATACTTAAATTTTTAAATAATGGTATGAAATCTTCATTAATAGAAAATCTCTTTAATTTCATAATGATTTTTTTATATGGCTGCCATGTTAAAATCATTTGGGGAATGGGAGAAAATATTTACATGCCTTATATTTGACAAAAGACTGGTACCAAAGATCTACAAAGAACTCATATAACTCAACAAAAAGACAACAAATAGCTCAATTAAAAACTAAGCAAAATAGGCACTTCTCCAAAGAAGACATGTGCATGTTCAATAAGACACATAAAATATTGTCCCTCACTTATCCTCAGGGAAGTGCAAATTAAGGCCACAATGAGATACTACCTCACACCTGTGGGAGTGGTCCATATCAAAAAGACCAGGAACAAGAAGTGGTGGACAGGAAAAAAGGAACCATCTTACATTGTTGGTGGAAATGTAGATTGGTCAAGCCCTATGGGAAGTATAATCTTTGTCAAAGATTAAAAATAGATTTTCCATATGACTCAGCAATTCCATTCCTAGGTATCTATCCAAAGAACACAAAATCATGAATTTGAAAGGAAACTTGCACTGCTATGTTTATTGAAGCACTATTTACAATAGTCAAGTATGAAAACCACCTAAGTGCCCTAAAACACATGAGTGGTTCAAGAAGATGTGGCATACAGACACAATGGAATACAATTCAGTGATCAAAAACATAAATGTATGCCATTAGCAGCAATACAGATGGAGCTGAAAGGGGTTAAATTAAGCAAAGTAGGTTAGAAGGACAAAGATAAATACCAGATGGTGTCACTTATATGTGGAATATAGAGAAATAAAACAAAAGGCCAAAGACAAACTTCAAAACCAATCTTCAAAAACTGACCACAGAGGTGAGGCATCCAGAGAGGGAGAGGGTGGGGAAGTAGGGGGTAGGGGGGAAGGCACCTGGCCTAAGTGGAGGACCGTGCGTGCTTTGATGATGACTACACCTGAAAAGCGAGATCCTATATTCCCCAAGCAGTAGCAATGATGTCGACCAAAGGCACTTCAAAACTTAAAAGAAAAAAAACCAAAAGGGAAGAAAAAAATAAGCATTTGTCTTGTATTATTTAAGATAAATAAAGTCATTCAGGAACACAAAAAACTGAAGTAATGACTGAGGTAAAGCACAAAGATTGACACTATATATGACCACCAGTCAGTGGTTACCTATGTTTTACTACTCACAGAATCCAAATACAGGTTGACTTTTCCATGATCATGTTCCACTTTCTTCACTGTCTCACTCAGAGGAATTGCACCTGGCAGCACAGCAAAACCACTGAGTAGGTTAACTTCCATGAGGGCCATGCCACTCCTCGATGGGCCCAAAAACCTACATCAAAGAAGAAGGGATGAAAGAAAACCTTCAGGAAAAACGTAGAGCTAGTGCTAAATGCCAAATAAAATTAAAACAGCCAGTGTTCCTTCAAATATTTACTAAGTTGAATAAAAATCACTAACACTGAAAGACAGCTAACCTTTTCTTACACATGAAAAATTGGTAGAACTTTCAGCCTAGCAAGGAGTGATACAACATTGTGTTCACTGCAGCCAGTGAGAAATGCCTGCAGTTTCATAGGCTTGTCTTCTCGCTTGCAACAATACAGCCGAGACTCCCTTTCAACAGGCAACTCTGGGTTTCAGTGGTAAGTTCAAACTGAATTGCATTTTTCATTTTGTCAAAAGTTGACAACACTACAGTCTGCTGCCGAAAACCAGGAACATAAAGAGTCATCACTTGACCACTTAGCAGTAGACTGGGGCCAAGTTTTTAGCAACCTTCCCTTCATCTGGTTTTAGAAAAAGACCAGTAGGGAGAGTCCTTCCCTTTGTTCTCCCACATACTTGGAGCACATTTAGTGCTTTCTTTGGCCACCTTGAGAGCATTACCAGCCTCGGAAAGTTTTATTACACTGCATGGTTCTCTCACTCTGTGGTACACAATGTGAGCATCAAGGATCTGGGTACCAGCAACATTTGCCTTCTTTAAAATAATTCATTTTCTAAAATGAATAGGTGGCGAGAGCTTTTTGCTTGGAGCAGAAAGAGCCCACTGTGGTTATGGAAAGGAGTCTGCCATCAACGTGAAGGATCAGGATACTTCCTGCTGTTCTTTCAGACGGCAAAGGCAAGAAAGGCTATTACAAAATCTTGCTTTTTGGAACAGCACAGTGATGGCTGCCAAACATGACTGGCTGAGAAGCCATACGGTACAATGTTGACTGCAGCTGGCTAGACAACTGAAACCATCTGCTGGGAGATGCACTCAGCCAGAATAGATGCTATTGAAAACTAGAAAGAACATTAAAGCTAGAGGTGCTTGGTTTTGAGCAAAAATTACAGATAAGAAAAACAGAAAAACTAATAACTTATGTTGTCAAGTTATTCAGCACATCATCCAAAATGCCTTGACTGACCTGGTCTTTCTATTAACCAGGAACAGAATTTGTTAAGTTACCAAGTCACTCAGAAAACCTTGTGTGAGGTTCGTAAGGTCTTGGGCCCTATAAATGGGAATAAATTCCCTGAAATATTGGGTTATCTTTGTTTTTCTCAAATTTCAACTTGTCATTTACATGGCTAACCTGGAGGTGCATTTTCACACCTCCATATGTGCGCCTGCTTCACTCACCTGCCACCTGCCAACCCTCCTCCTTTTCTCCCCCTATCTTCTCCCCTCTCCCCCATTCCTTCTAGTAGCCAATATATTTTCCATGGAGTGTAAGAATTATCTTTTCTGTGTTTTGCCAGTTTGTTCTCGTTGGTTGTTTATGTCCTACAAGTCAGTTATTTTTTTATAGAGTGGCACTTAAAAAAAAATCATTTAAAATGTTACTGGTGCCTCCTATCAAATTTTTCTGAATCCTTTTTATAAAATTTCTATCCTCACATGAAAACATTTTCCTTCTCCAGGTCCTCGGACAAAAAAAGGACAGATGCAGACAGACAGACACATCTATAAAAAATTGCAATGCGGGCCCTCCCTGGTGGCGCAGCGGGTTAAAGCACAGCACTGAGAATCTGAAGCCGCTTCCGCATGAGTTCGATTCCCGCCTGCCCCGGAGGTGACCACATGGCGTGGCAGACCTCTCCTGACCCGCCCGCTGCTCCCCTCAGCAGTGTACTTCGTGGATCTGCCTGTTCTGCTCCCCACTCTGTCTCTGGTGAAGCCTCTCACCCTCCGCATCTCTGGCCTGTACCCCAGTTCTGTATGAATAAATAAATAAATCTTTAAAAAAAAAAAAAATTGCAATGCATATATATATGTATGTGTGTGTGTGTGTGTGTATATATGTATATGTGTGTATATGTATATATATGTATATGTGTGTGTATGTGTGTGTGTGTGCGCATGATGCATTCACACCCCCTCTACCTATCAAAGTCTGTTTGATATTGCAGTAAGATTTGAAAGCCTGCATCTTCTGCATTTTTACACATATAAATGTTTCTTCACCTGAATTCCCAAGAGGTAAAATCTCTCTCATGGCTCCCTGAGATTCTTCTTTGCTCTTTTCAGAACTAGAATTATAGATTTACTTAGGGGACTTGTTTTTGTTCATTTCTGTACCCACCCCCTCCAAACAGTAACATCCATGAAGACAGGGTCTTGCCTTTTTGGAATCACCATTGTATTGCCACACCTGAATCTGTATCTGACACATAAGGGAGACTCAGTCAATACTGACTGATTATAAAAGTGAGAAAATAATAATACTACCTACCTAATAGAATTATTGTAAAGGTTACGAGAGATATCATTAAAGTATCATTAAAGTGCTTTATGGTACAATGCTTGCATGTAAGCTGTGATAAATGTAGGTTGTTTACATTAATACTAATAACTTAAGTTGTCAAGTTATTCTAAAACACAGACCAACTGCAAGTTTGGTACAGAATAACGAAGAGTCCAAATTTCTTATCAGTTAAAAAGGAAGCCACTGCAGAGACTTCAATATGCCCCTGCTGCCGGTCCAAAATGTCCAATGAGGTGTTGAATGGGACAAATACATGTAACATTTTATACCAAAATCGTGAACAAGGCAGCCCAAAGACAGTATAGATGGTCACAGTAATGCTGGAGATTGGGTTCAGGTAATTTCCAAAAAGGCTGAGTACTTGGAGGACCACTCTGGACAACACCTTGAATAGCACCCGGCAGTGACTTCGGTGACTTCTACCCCAACAAGCTAAGTTCAGCCAGAACACAAAGGGGAAGTATAAAAAAGAAGATAAGAAATCCTCAGTATGACCGCATCTTTTCACCAATAAATGCAGAGGCAGGCCCTCCCTGGTGGTGCAATGGGTTAGGACGCAACACTGCAAGCTGGCTGCAGCCCTTCAGTGCGAGTTCAATCCCAGCCCTGGAGGTGACCCACTTGGCGCGGCAGACCTCCCCTGACCCACCCCCTGCTCCCCTCAACAGTGTACTTCGTTTATCTGCCTGTTCAGCTCCCCACTCTCTCTGGTGAATCCTATCACCGCCCCTGCACCTCTGGCTGTACCCCAGTTCTGTATGCATAAATAAATAAAATTTTTAAGAAATAATAAATAGCTTTCTTTTATAAATAAATAAATAAATAAATAAATAAATGCAGTGGTAAGAGAACAGACAGACAGACAGGAAAGAAACTGTAAAGTCTCTTTATTCAAGAACTCTCCAAAGGAGTTGTCCTCAAATTTGTGTGTGTATTGAATGACCAAGAAAGCTGAAAAGGGTAGCTTTACAGATCTGATTCTGTGACATCAGTAGGCCTGAGATGGAGCCACTTTCCCTTACACTAAACATGATCCTCATATGCTCTAGATATAGACCAAAGTTAAGACTCACCTTATTAAGCTGTCCCAAAAGTGGCAAGAGGTTGATTATCCAAGGTAAGACCCATCTAAAGGAATAGTTCATTGTCGAAAAATACTACCTCTTTCCTGAACTTACATAACCTTTTTATAACTGAGATTTTTATTTAATTGAGGTAATACTTCACTATAAAGTTATGAAAATTTCAAGTATGCATTACTGAAAATCAACATAGGTATAAACAACATTAAGTTCACCACAAAAAGTCCAGTTCTGTCCTTCACCATACAATTATCCCCTCTATCCTAATTCACCAGCCCTCTTCCCCTTTCCCTTCATACCGACTGAATGATTTTTTAGTCCAAAAGTTTATTTTTTAAATTTGCATGCTTATTAGAGACTCTAACCTAAAGTATACCACTAAAGGTTCAGTATGAACCTTAAATAAATATTTAACAGAAAAATAACAAGACATAATCAATTTTGGAGTATTAAATATGGATGGCTAACGTTTCCATAAACTAGACTTTGAGTCTTACTAAATTTTTACTAAATTCGTTTTATTCAACAAACTTTAAATTTGTTATAAATGATATAAATGAGTTTGGAAACACTGAGCATTGTTTCAATATACTTAGCAATATTTCTAGTTAGTGAGCTAAAATGTAATATATAACTTAAACCTTTGTTAAAGCTAACTCTATCTACCAACCTTGTACACACGTTCAAATTCAACTGATTGGCATCATCTTTATTATCATTTACAGCAACATCCAAATCAAAGGCTTCTTCATTTTGGATGGATCTTCGTCTTCTAGAAGACTCTGTATCTTTTACATTATAAATAACATTGAGCTGCAGTAGATATACAAAGAGCATATAATCAAATAGCAATAAATCATCAATAATAAATCACCATCATAATGTATTCTAAGTATTAGTAGTGAATCCCTTCAAAATAAACCTAATGACATTTTTTAAGCTTCAATCTAAAAAAAAAGTTAGTTTTACTAGTCTAAACGGCCATCAGTAACTAATATTATTAGAAAAGCTTATGAACAATGACTAATAGTTAATAAAACTGACTACCGGTCCCTATTTTTTGTTTTGTGTATGTTGTCAGATAGAATAAGTGAACACTCTGACCAGTAGCTATCATATTTAATCCTATGTCCTTCAAACCTCAAGTCAAAATCATTTAGCTTAGTAATTTATCTACACAGTGTTTCTCTAGAATAAATTCTGACCAATGTATATTCGATTGTATGAAAAAGATCCTGTGTATTTACTTTTGGATTTACTATTTATATTGTTTTATTTACTATTTATAAAGTTAATATTAAAGGGTCATATTTTCTATGTTCAAGTCAATTACTATAATATCATGCTGACCTTTATAATCTTAGATGACTATTAAGAAGTTGTAAGTAAAACATGGGAGTTCCCCGAAACTCTCATGACTCATATTGATTGGAGGACTTCAATACTCACTTTAAAAAGTAAATAATACTCAAGGAATATTGTGCAAACAGATTATCAGTCCATAGTAATGCTGTCTACTCATAGTTAGTAACAAACTCTTCTAATACATTTTATTAAAGATTTATCTTGCCAAATTGATCAAAATAAATCATTAAGAAGTTTATTTAAATGAAAGCAAGCAGTGCCCTAAACCAAATAATTACTATAAAAATTCAAAATAAATTAAACAAAAGTAGCCATTATTACACACCTGACAAATTGCAAATCCAGAACCATTTGCGGAAATATTAAGTGCAGTTGGCTGTACCAAAGCAAGCTGGGTAAAGAAAGGGGAAAAAGAATAAATTATTTTCCCATATCCAGGTAGCATATGAAATCGGGGCCATCCTTATTAGTTGTATAAGCAAGCTGTGGAAGCTCTAAGACTTCACATGTCCACATATATATATAAGCTACAGGTCAACGGTAAGAGAGGGAAAAGCAGAGGACGTGCACTGTCCACACACCTTAACGGTAGCCCTGTGGGAGCATATTTTAGTGCCACTGTCAGGTCACCCCTCTTTAGCACCGAAATATGGGAGACATGAAATAAAAGTCACCTCCCTTCCTCTAACCGCCCTCATACTGAAGGCCTAATCTCCAGGCTTCCTGAGAACACAAGACACCTCATGGAACATGACAACTTTACTCCTTTTCTTTCCTTTGCCATTACCTGTCCCTTCCCTTAGTCTCCAGCCTTGAAGTTATTACTTTCATCCATTACTCTCAACTTCCCACAAGGTTAACCAAAGGAATAAAGTTAAGGTGTAATGTGTTTCTTTACTCTGCTTTAAGAATTCTAAACATACAAAGTAAGAATCCTAATACTGGCTTTATCAATTCTCCTAGACAGCATACAATGCAGCTGAAAAGAACACAGTCTTTGAACTTTGAAACCAGTGTTCAAATGTTAGCTCTCCTGTTACTAGTAACATGATCTTCAACAAGTTAGCCTCTCTGAGAATTTTATCATGTGCACAACAGAGATAAAAATACTTACTTTTAGTGTTGGTTTCAGAAATAAACTGCAAAAGCACATAAAGAAGCCTAACACCGGTCCTGTGACTATTACATCAGCATTCCTTTCCAATATACCCATGTACCCATGTTCTTTTCCTCTGCCAGTTCTTTCTAGAGTTCCAACTCCCTCCTCACATCATCAGCTCAAATAAAGTCACCCCATCCTACTTGTCTCTCTACAGAGCTCTGGGAACAAATCTCTGTTGAAGTCAACAGAATGAAAAAAAAAATCAGTATTAACAATATAAGGAATTGTAAATAACCACCCCTTTGTCCATACCTCTGCTGTCTGGAGGAGAAAGCGATTCTGTGCATCAATCAGAAACGTCACAGGACTCGGTGAGCTAGGCCCAGCCAAAGACACATGGATATTTGTCTTTTCTGCGTTCATTAAGCCTGCAAATTCAGACAGGGCCTTCAAGGCCACAACAGTGTCCTGTTGAGGAACGAAAAACATTTATATATGTATAAAGTTTATGTCAAGGTCTCCAACGAATAAAATTCATAATATTTAGGAATCCCTATATAGTCATCCACCCTTGAGAATGGAACTCTCCCTAGTTCCTCTTTGAACTTCCCGAAAAAAGTGATAGAATACAGGAGAGGTTCTGGAAATACATGCTGATTGGATCTAAGCACCCGTTGTATCAGTTATCACAGATAAAAGAGGACAATGAGAGAAGAATACTCATGCACTCTGAGTGAAAATGTAAGTCAGTGCAGGCCCTATGGAAAATAGACTCCTTAAAAATATAAAAATGAAAATGCCATAAGACCCAGTAACACTATTCCCTATGTATTTATCCAAAGACTATGAAAACCCTAATTCAAAAAAGTTTGTGCACTCCTATGTTTACAGCAAGTTATTCGCAATAGCCATGACACAGAACCCTAAATACCCATCAACAAATGACTGGATAATGAAATTGCAATGTGTACTCAATAGAATACTACTCAGTTAGTAAAAAAGCTGAAATCTAGTCTTTTGAGACAACATGGGTAACACTTGCAGTGTTTATGCTAAGTGAAGTAACTCAGAATGTAAAAGGCAATTACCAGATGGTTTCTTTTAAATGTGGCATATAAACAATCAAAGCAGTGAACTAACAAATCACAAGAGAAATAACTCCTGACTGTGAACAATAAGTGGTTATCAGAGCCGGGGGATATGGGGGCTGGGAAGATAGAGCAAAGGGCATCAACCTGATAGTGGGAATGGGAATGGCATTTGAACTCAGGTGGTACATGAGTTTACCCTAAACCTTACTGTAAACTGATGGTAAATCAGTAAAATGTGTTAAAATAACTATCATGTGTCATGGCTCACCTGGGTAGACGCAAAACCTCCCAAGCTATTTCTCTGACTGCTTAGCCACCTCATAATCGGAATTCCCTCCAAAACCTGAAGCTGCAAAAAATGTGAGAGCAGCACATAGGCGGCAGTTTCAATATCCAGAGAGCTTGGCTGCCAGGAGTCAGAAAGTCTGGACATTGGTGACACCCAGTACTGCATGCCTCCTGCAAGAGAAAAGTAGTAACATTCTGACCAATTCCAGAAAAATTACATTTTATAGCACTAAACATTTCATATTGGCCCAAGTTCTACTTGACTAGCATTTTATATATATACACATATACACACACAGTATATATGTTTATACTTACTTATACACATTTTTATGTATGGGTGTGTTTATGCCAAGCAAGTATATGTGTATTCACAGACAAACACACTTGCATACTTATATGTAACTTTTTGAGCTACTATTCCATAAATTTTCACCCTTTTCCTAATGCTTATGTTTCAGGATGTTTTGATGAAATTACTTTACCCAAGAGAAATTGCATATGCTTGGCTCAAGACTAGAGAATTATAAATAAAAGAAAACATATACTGTATTCCAGAAGATAATGTACATAATTTATCAGACCAAGCCATCCCCAAAGTATTTTAAGACATATTTCTTTGTCCTGGAAATCTGCCATTAACCAGCTCTACCGTGCTGAGAAACCTCTCCTTTGTTCACTATCTGAAAGCTGGAGTTAGAAGTTCAAAATCCAATCCACACCACCTGCCCCAGAAAAAAAATAAAGGATCTGGCCAACTCAGCAATCTTCCCAGAGATTTCTGCTAACACACAGAGGGACATCCTACTTGGTGTCCTCTCCTCTTCTCTCCAATTTAGATGATGATTACACTTAGTTGGAATGTGTGATAACTATCATCTGGTCATGCAATAATCTTCTTAGTCCCCAGCACTGTGATAGGACGAATGATTCAGCCTAACTTTCTGCTATGGAATGATAAAACATTTTCTCCAGTCTCAGAAGTTTATGAACACTTTCTACAGTTCTCCCTTCTTTAATTAACAATGCTTTAAATAAATAGAAATTACCTAAAATTATTTCTGCCTCCCATCCCCATTTCTCTAACACACACACACACACACACACACACACATACCCCCTCTGGATTCCTGACTATAGTGGACATTTGAGAAATAACAACTGTACTTTTTGTCCTCTTTTAACCCATAACAGTACCCATTTTAAAATAATAAAAACACACATGCACAACCACAGCACTTTTTAGCATTTGCATTCCTATTAATTAGCATCTTAGTACATATTTTTTTAACACTTGCTATGCAGAAACTGCATGTTATATCATGTAGTCCTCATAACAACATTAAAGTAGGTGTTATCCCCATCTTACAGTTGGAGAAAATGAAGCTCATAAAAGTAATCTAACCAGAATTTAAATTCAAATCTCACCACAACCCAAGGTCCCACTCAAGGCTACCAACAGGCAGAAACGGGATCAGGGAACTGACACAGGACAGAGCATATGTAAGGAAAACCAGACACCTAAGCTCTAGAACCTTCTAGAAAATTCTTTTCTTTTTTTTTTTTAAGATTTATTTATTTATCCATATAAGAACTGGAGAAGAGGCCAGATGAGGGGGTGGTGAGTGGATTCACCAGAGACAGGTGGGGGAGCAGAACAGGCAGAGTGACTGAAATACACTGCTGAGAAGAACAGCAGGTGAGACAGGAGAGGTCTGCCACACCATGTGGATACCTCCCTGTCTGGGGACCAAACTCATGCTGCAGTGGCTGCAGCCAGCTTCACAGTGCTGTGCTTTAACCAATGCACCACCAGGGAGGGCCCTAGAGAGATTAGTTTCAGCAAGGCCGTGTCAGGTCCATCTGACCATCTGTGTTTCAGTTTTCATTATGTTCAGAAGACAAAAATATGATCAACTTCATATCTGGCTCACCAATTTTTCTCAGACAATTTATGTATTTCCCAAAGCATAACAGTCTGACAACCTCAAATGGACTCCATACATTACCTTCTTGTTCTGCTCTCTGAGTCAGCAAATTCAAAGCTTCCTTCGCCTTTGGGCTCTTCACTGATGACAGTGCATAAGTTATAAGAGCGAGAGTATAATTGTCTGAAATTCCTCTATTGAATTCAGATTCCAGGAAGCTGATAGAGTCTTCAACATCAATATTAGGCTTGAAAAAAATTAATATTTTACCATTCAAATTAATATCTTAAACTACTGCATAAAATGTTGCCATTACTACCATTACCACAAAAAGTACTTCAAAATATTCATTCAAAATAAAATCTCAGGATCTATTAAGTGCTTGATTTTGTCAGACGCAATGGTAATAAACAATAATCACTGACATTTGAAGACTACCATGCATTCTGAATATCATACTGCTTTCCAGTTTTTACAAGTAGGTATCATTTCCTAGAGGAAATAAGAAGTCAAGTTTTTTGGCCAGTGTTTCTCCCATTGAGGACTAAACTAGCATGATAGCACAGCTTGAGAAAGATATTCTCATATTGAGTCTCAGGTGTTGAAGCTCTAAATTCAGGGGAAAGCTTTATTTCCTATCATCTGGGCTGGAAAAATAATAGTCATTTAATATAGACAATGGCTGTCATGATCATTGAAATGTATTTGGCATTAAGCAGAAAAGGCATCATCACTGAGTCAGCTTCAGAGCAAAATTAAGCCCATTAGCATAAGGTTTCCTGCAGATTCTTTCTCACCCAGGTATCCATGTCCTTTTAACATGATTAAAGTGTAGGTATATTCTGTACTAAATTAGAAAACACTGGAATTGCTCCATGGTATTTTAGAAGTAAGACTTCAGAACCTACACTTGCTAAAATATATTCCCAAATACTGAAGAATTTTCTGTGACTCTATAAAATAACCTTTCCAAGGCTAAAATATGTACTGACTTATCTTACAGATATCAGATACAATGATACTTAAATCAGAAAGCATTTTTAGAATTCTCTTAGTTATTATAAAAGAGTGGGTTCGTATTTTTGTTCTGTTTGGCACATTACCACAAAAGCAAAGTAAAAGTGAATGTGATACAAAACTGAAGGACTTCTTAAGTTTGCAGACATATATTTGACACATCAAAGCCAACCTTCCTTGTGATTTCACAGCCATCATTTTATTAAATTAAAAATTAAATACCTGATACTTCTTATAACCCAGGAGAGAAGTCACAATATATGCTGTTAGTGTTACTGGACTTTTAGTGCCACCCTGAAGTTCACTATGGATCACTCTTCCTGGCTCCCAATATTCACCACTGGATTTCTGGTGTCTTCTGAGCCAAGTATATGTTCTGTGTAATACATTCTCATCAATATCAATGTACGGATCGGCTTCAAGGAAACATCTTAAAACAAAAGCTGACAACCTTGGTGAAAAGAGGAAAAAATACATAAAATACACTTTATAAAATCCCTCAAATAACACTGAACAGGGAAACACCAACAATGACACATTTTTTAAACCAGAAGCTTCGCCAAAGGAAAAAAATCACTTAAGGAACAAAGGGGAAAAAGGGGGGTAAAGGTATGGGAAAGAAAGGAACAAGGATGGGGTGAGGGGGGAGGGGAGGGGGACACAAGCTGCTCCATCTGGATTCCACTTGAGTGTGGCCAAGAAATTTCAAGTCAACACACAGAAAATCAAATTTGGAAAGGAACTTATAAATCATCCAATCCAACCTCATTATGTTATAGCTGGAGAGTTCAACACTCTCAAAGAGTTCAATAAATTGTACAAGGATCCTGGACATCTTTTGACTACCCTAGGTATTTACCAGAAAAGGTCTCATTACACACATTTCACTCACCCCTAAGGCTGTGGATGAAGTATATATATATCACAATCAAACTTTAGTACTTTTAAGTGGAGGAAATGGATATTTGTTCTCCACAAGGTAGGCCTCAGCAAAGAACAGCTTGTGAGCCAGATCTGTCTGGGTCAAATCTGCTCCTTAGGCCAAACACAGTCCAGGTTCTATTTACAAATGACTCTCGTCCCACCCCCTAAAAGAATGGTTTTAAAGAGGGAAGTGGGGAAAAAAGAAGGGGTGGCAGAGAAGAATGCGATACTCTATAACTCTCTCAATGTCTAAAATATTCACTGTCTGAGCCTTTACTGAAAAAGCCTGCCGATCCCTGACACAGAACACTAAATATTGAAATGAAAAGAACATCAAGCAATAAAGCATTTTCTATTTGTGGATCTACGTCCTGACACAGGCCAAAAGAAAATTTGAAGCAGATCTGTTCATCCTTTATTTAAAAAAAAAAAAAGTGTGGTAATCAATACTAATATTCAGTAATACCTAGTTCTTTTTAACTCTGAGTACACAGAGTTAGGCATTGGCCGTGTAACTAGCACTGAAAATAATAAAGTGAAAAGAAACGTCTATACCCAGGCTGAAAGCATCTAATAGCCAGTGTTAGCTACACCGGCCATCTCTTCTCAGGCTAGGCCAAGACTGGTGAGATGGTGGCACCTGAAGCAAAGACTGCAGGGCCCCCTGCTGGCCGATAGTGGAAATGCAGCATGAGCAATAAGTAAGAAGCCCTTCTTAACTATTGCTAAATGGGGGTTGTTACCAAGGTATGCTTGGTCTAACCCAACAAATACAGGTCATATGCAGAATTGAAGATAGTACAAGAAGAGAAATTCATCATGTAAAACCAGTCACACAGAGATTAAACTCTGGAGAATTACCTAATTCCATCAGCTTTTCACCAAAAAGTAACTTTAAAGAAACTTCATTAACTGTCCTAACATGAAATTTGTGTTGATAATGTCAGATTAAAGAAATATTTATGTCACAATCACCCAGTACTTCTAACAATTTTTCTTGCCAGCTACACCAACATCCTAAGTATTTTTATTGCTGCTTTCTCTCTGAACAAAAGGGGATTTATGACTTTTCTTGCAAAGTAAGAACATTGATTTGCTAGTGTTTTGAGCTTATATTTAGAAATGAGAATCTCTTCTAAAACCAGGTTATGGAAAAGCTGTTTCTGAGTCTATTTACAGATTTATTTGTCAGTTCCATGGCCATGGTGACCTAGTAAGGGCCCATCCCATTACATGGGCTTGTTCCGACAGGAAAACACTTACCAAGTGCTCCCAGAGGGGTCATCATTCCCAAAAGCACTGAAAGAGCCATCTTCTCTCTGATAGAGAAGTTCTGTCTGGTAACCTGTGGGCAAGAACATAGGTGATCCATGTAACCCACTGCAGTGAACCCAAGTTTCAAGTCATGGCGTTATACTGAGGAACAAGGGGTTGAGAATAGGAAAGACACCAAATCAAGAGTTAATATTAGGGCCCTCCCTGGTGGTGCTGCAGGTTGGGGCTCGCACTGTGAAGCTAAGCCAAGCCATGGCCTCTTCAGTGTGAGTTCGATCCCAGCCCCAGAGGTGATCCACATGGTGCAGCAGACCTCTCCTGTCTCCCAGTGGGCCCCTCAGCAGTGTATTTGGTCAATCTGCCCATTCTGCTCTCCACTCTGTCTCTGGTGAACCATCTCATCCCCCGCACCTCTGGCCTGTACCCCATTTCTGTATGCATAAATAAATAAAATCTTTAAGAAAAAAAAAGTTAATATTAAATGCTGTCTATATTAAGTAGCATGGGAGATTTTAAGTGCCAGGACTTTTCAAGCAGAATGTATAAAATAAGAACTATGACATTTCCAAATTAAATGAAAGTAAATTTAGAAGAATGCTATGATACAGACAATTCTACCATTCAAAAGCAAGCAAATTAATGGCAGAATTTTATTTAGCTCTGTAGTTTCACCATGATGATTCATCCCTTCCTATCTAAGATTTACATTTTTAAAAAAAACTATCTAGAGTATCATAATTAAAGTTGAAAACTAAAACAAAAGTAAAAAACACTTCCTAGTATTGGACCAGCAATTAGGGCAGACAGAAGGAGTGGGTTGCTAAATAATCTAAAACAATGGCAAAAATGTTTTGGCTGTTAGATAAACCAAAGTCCAACCACATTAATTTTGAGTCCTCTCTATTCAAAAAGAGCTTAGTGGTGGCAACAAAGTCTCAGTTGAAAAGTAAATTGGGGAAGGGGCTAACCACTACCTCTCTAATTTAAAAAGCAGATGTTTCGTATTTGCAAATAAGTGGTTTTGCAAAAAATTAGTTGCAAATAAGAGACAGATGGTTCGTATTTGCAAAGCAATGCATGTAAGGTCTCAAAACCAGTGATTCTAAGAAGTCACAGACCAAATACTAAACGATTCACCAAACAGCCTACAAGAAACTAACTTGCTGAAAATGAAATTAAAATAGCAATACTCTATCACTAAAATGCAAACATTAAGGAAGCACCAAAAACATTTTAATCTCAGGATACTGTCTTTCTCCGATAAGTAAGAATCCTCCCTGAACATGCCAGTATTCCATTGCAGCAGGTGAGAACATGGGACAAGCCTTCCAACATGACCTTGGAGACCATGATCATTAGCAACAGTTTTGAGTTCAAGCTCTAGTAAACTCTGGCAATAAAAAAAAAAAAAGTTTTACTTATGAATGCCATATTTTGGAAGCTTCAGTAACTATATTCATATTCATTCTAACAAAGCATGAGCATAAATGGCTTTAAATTATAGTTAATCTACTCTGCCAAGTCTCAAACGTTTCTCCTTGAGCCTTTTCCACAAGAAACCCCAGATGTATCTTATTTAAGCTACAATAAGGCAAAATGTGCAAAAAGATGGTGATTTTTACCAGCAACATTTAAAGGGTGAGAAAAATTGTGCTTAATTTATAATCTTTTCATTTCAAAGTGATATGCTCTGATAGAGTAATTAAATAGTTGAACTTTATCCAACACTGACTGTCAGGAACTATTCAAAGCCTTTTCAGGTATTACCCCAGCTACTTCTCACAACCACCCTATGATGTAGATACTATGATTATCCTGTTATTAGAGACCATGAAACTGGAAACAATGAAACATTCAGTGTACAATTGAACTTGTTTTTGGAGATGTTGACAAGAACATGCATTTGGTAGTTACTGAAACTAACCTCCAACAATACAAGGATGCATATGCAGAAGATTATTCATGCCAGCATTATTTGTAATCATAAAAATGTTGAAAACTACCCAAATGCCCCCATATTGGAGAGGTTGAATAAAATGTAGTGTATGTACACATTCGAGTACTACACAGCTGTTAAAAAAAAAATGAGGAATTTTTTTCTGAGCTGATATTGAAAGGGCAAAATTTAAAAGTTTATAGAGTATACACAATATTGTGATTTCCAAGAAATATATCTATAGAGGTCATTCAGATGACCAAAATATCTATTTCCTCATACTTCATTTGGTCTTCAACTGTAGTTCCTAATTTGCAGCTCCCCTTGGCATTTTCGTGTAGAGTATGTTAATAGTGTCTCTTGCTATGTTCATGAAAAGGGTGCTGATTGCAAGGGAAACCAATTAATAATAAAAGGTGGAACTTTCAGTCCAACCCACAGACTCCAAGGAAGGGAGATGGGCTGGAGGTTGAAGTCAGTTGCCAGTGACCAGTGACTTAATCACTTCTGCCAATGTAATGAAGCCTCCATCAAAGTCCAAGAGGAAAAAGTTTCCTACTGGTGAACACGTGGATATAGGGGAAAGGGTCTGAAACTCTGACTTATAGTCATTCAGTCGGTTAGAAGAAGGAACCTGCCTGGAGCTTACAGGCAGGGTGACCAGAGACTTGGGAGACTGAGCCCTTGCTCTGTGGAACTTGATGCCATCTCTGAGGAAACAGTGGCAGGACCCTGAACACCCTACTAGTGTCCAAGTAATTCTTGTTGCTGTGGGGGAGCCTTGGAACCCGCCTCCCCATTGGAAATTGGATCCCGGAACCCCACAATGTAGTATATTACCTTTTGGGTAAGACAGAAAGGTAATAAGAAAACATTTATGTATATGTTAATTTTTGGAAAGAGAAAACTGAAAAACAGGAACTAACAAAGCAAGTTATGCCCAAGGAGTAGGGAGAATAGATAAGAGAGGGACAGTACCTCTTTGTATAAGTTTGACTTTCAAGAATAGGCTAAGTTCTACCTACTCAAAAATTTAAACAAGAATGAAAACAATAAATGATAGGCAGTATTAAAATTACATTAGTTGGCTCACTTTAAGATGTTTTAGTTTTCAAATAACCTTACACACAACACAACATATAATCTCTTCCTTTTTCAAAGTCAGGGATCACTGAGAAATAGAGTCATTTTCTAATGTTCACAAAGAAAGTTAACAAGAACATCCACGGGATTCTCCCTCAATCTCCAATTCACCACTAAATTCACCATATAGCAGTTTACTGTGAACTCAATCTGACAGAAGGAAGGAGGAAAAAAGAAAGAAAGGTGAAGAGGAGAGGAAGGGAGCAGCTGCTGGTCCACCCCTACAGGAGGTACTTCTGTGGGAAGAAGCGGGGCCTGTGACTCCAAACCCCCAAATCACAAGTACAGTTCCAAGTATGAGTTAGTATAAAACTGGTCAGAGAGATGAGATCATGGAGATGAGATCAGTACTTCTGGAAACTACTCCTCAGGTGGCTGACCTCCAACAGTCCCCATTATATAATATCATAATGCAAAGTTACTTCAATTAAAAAACATACATGTATCTGCATGTGGATATAGATACAAATGTAGATATAAATACAGAGATACAGGCACAGATATCAGCAACCAGCACTGTTCTTTTAGCCAATTCAGAGGGAGAGAACTCAGGTAATCTCCAGTGTGGAATACATTTTCCAGCTGGTATTGATAAAACTGAGAATCCAAGCCCTCCTCTCCCATGGCAAAACAAATGGCAAGAATCAGAAAATAAGGAGGTGTTTACATGACTCCTGATGGAGCCTCCTGTGAGGTTTCCTTCCTCATCTTACACCAGCCATGAATCATCAGAGAACTCTCAGCTGCTTGTCCTCCAAACCACCCACTCCATATGCTGAAAAAGACATTGGGAATTCAGCTCCGATGTTTATTAATACTACAACAATTCAGGGTTCCATGGTCATGACCTAAAAGTTCAAGACATGTCATCATGACAAGTGAGAAAGCTAAAAACATGGATTTCTCCAAAGTCTATGAGGAAATAAGAGTATTACATCTAAGTTCATAGTTTTGTGAATAGCTTTTGAATTAAAAAGCAATCATACCATCAAAATTAACAGACACTTTCGAAAATTAAAATAGAGAAGTAGTCAAGAGTCAAAAGGCTGTTAGGGATGATAAGACCCATGAGCTGATATTTATAAAGGCCAGGTAAGATACACAGTTTTCTTTGGACTAGCAATAATGTAAAACACTTGTAGTTTATCATAATGAAGATAAAAGTACTTTCTACAGAAACACATAGAAAAGTGATGTTCTAAACATAATTTGACTTGGTTATTTCAACTGGTGGGACTGCATATGAAGAAAAAAAGCAAAATCAACCCTTAAGACTACAGTCACTTTTTCCAGTAGAAGGCATGTAAAACAGCTCCATGGGCTCTGATCTGTGAGGACTTGGTATACCCCTGGGGACCTTTGACATCAGGAGTCTGAAGACGTCCACAACCCCAAAAAATTTGATAAAACTATTCTCTGTACTAAAAGAAAAGTAATCATTTCAACTTCCTTATCCTCCTTGACATGAAAGTGAAGTGAGAACTTTACCAGGACATGTCTCTGTTTCTGCATCTCCATTATTGCTTCTAATATCCTGTGATGACCAAATGCAGCATCAGGATTCTGCAACATCAGGATTCTGAATCCTATTTTTTCCTGTTTTTATTTCAATAGGGAAAATATAATGTGCTTTCAACTAGACTTGCTATGAGTCTCATTTGAAAAATTGAGCCGTCAGTCCAATGGCTTAAATAGTTGAAGAAAACAAGTGGTTTAAATGTCCAATTAACAGATGCAGGATTTCCAATTCTTATCAAAAGCAGTTTCATCTTATGATTCTATTTTTCTTTTTGACAGCAAAATTCAGTGATGTAGTTGTTGTTTTGACCAAAACAACAATGGGTTAGGTTACAAGGACCCTGGGCCAAGCATGATTTAAGTAAAACAATGCGCTGTTCATAAATGATATTTAAATAGTACAATCATGACTCATGCCAAAGTCCCTTTAATTTCGTAAAACATAAAAACAACTTCGGTATATTTAAAGGACTTTGGCAAATGTGATGACAAATGAAAAAAAAAAGAATTTCTGAAATGAGATACTGATTTCATAATGAAATTCACTGTACCAAGCAGCATTTGTCCACTACTTTAAAATACAATTTAGTTCAGTATGTTAAATAATACGTTTTGGAACTGGTCACATTTCTTAGCTCATAAGAACATGAACCAGGTAGAACCTTTCATATTTATAGTCACTATAATGTAGAAGTACTAGGCCCATGTTCCACATTAGGATAATGAACATAAGAAGGTTCAAAGAAGTTAATACTAACAATATTCATTCATCCATTCGGCAGTGATTGAGGTAACTTTACAATGGAAAAGAGGTTAAACGTGCCCCCTCCCCCTACCCCCACCCCCAACCTTGTCAGGAAGCTTATCCTCTAATAAAGGGGACAGATAATTTAAAAAAATAAAAGATCATTTTAAACAACGTTAAAGTGTGGTGAAGAAAATAAAGTGGTGTGACATAAATAAGTTAACAAATGGTGAGGGAAGCCACTCTAAGGAAAATATCACTTGAAGGACGAAAAGGAGTCAGTCACAGAAAGGTAAGTGGGAAGAGCCTCCCAGGAAAGGGAGGAGCATGCTGCCAGCTGGACATGCTCCAGATAAAGCCCAGTGACAGTGGTCATTTCATGAAGGGCCTTGTAGAGTAAGTCCTGGAATCCACTGAAGAATGTCAAGCAAGGGACTGACATGACTTTGATGCTTTCAAAAGAGCCCTTTAACAATATGTGCAGACTATGCTGAAGGGAAGTGAGTGCAGAAACAGAGACAGCCTTTGGAGTGGCCTTGGGGAACAATGGCAGGGTTTGAACAGAACAGTTAGCTGGGAGATTTCCACATGTGTTTCACCTCCAAAGGTAGGGTGGACAGGATTTACTGGCTGACTTTAGACTCCAACTCCCAGATAGCTAGAACTGACTATACTGTAGCTGACAGTTATTGAGCATATACTGGGTGCTGCATAAAGTGTTAAAATATTTCATTTAATCTTCCTAACAGCCCTTTTGAAGAGCAAACAAAAGAACATGTATCTTACAGGAGGGAAAACAAGGCCGGGGAAACCAATCTGAAGGGGAGGCAGAATCTAGAGTTGGGGCCCGGTCACTACCACAGCCTGTGTTATGGCCACTGGCTCTGCCTCCCCCAGAGGTGGGGCTTCATTTGCAACAGTAGTGCTCATTCTGTTGTGCTTCTTCCTGGAAACAACTGGACATTTAAAAAACAATGCCCGACATTCTGCGCTCTGAGCTTTTGTGTCTTCCCGCAGTCAGTGGTTTCCAAATAATGAGAGGGTGCCACCTATAGGGCTGCTTGAAAACTGCAGTTTGGTACCTACCTGACCGGACCTGGCTGGAGAAGCAAGCTCTCCTTTTGAAAAAAAAAAAAAAAAAAAGATACTGAAAATTTGGGCCATTCATTGTTTAGGACTTCTGCTGACCCAGAGCAAAGTGCCTAAATCATAAGCTCCCATTATTTTTTTTTTTAAGATTTATGTATTGGGCCCTCCCTGGTGGCGCAGTGGGTTAAAGCATAGCACCAAAAAGCCAAAGTCACGTCAGCATGAGTTCGACCCCTGCCCCGGAGGTGACCCACATGGCGCAGCAGACCTCTCCTGACCGCCCGCTGCTCCCCTCAGCAGTGTACTTCATCAGTCGGCCTGTTCTGCCCCCCACACTGTCTCTCAATGCCTCCACACCTCTGGCCTATATACCCCAGTTCTGTAATGCATAAATAAATAAATCTTTTAAAATTTAAAGAAAAAAAAAGTCTCTTCATAGTGAGAGAACCTGGAGGAAAAGTTCACATCAAAACAATGACTTCATTTGAGATTTCTAATTCCTAACTGGAGAAGTTAACAAAACAGATCCCAACTTGTCCTACTTTATATTTAACCCATATGTTAAAAAGGAATTAAAAGTGTTGATTAGACTTGTAGGTTACAGTAAATATTTTCCTATCATGATATAAACCATTCTGACCCTTATGAGTTCTAGAAATTGTGTAGACAGACAAACTCAGCCATTCAGAGATATGGCTAGAGATCCCCTAAGACAGAAATGCAAAACTTAGACTAACTTTGGCTGGCTTTTAGAGTATTTAAAGTCTACATTATTATTATTATTATTATTATTATTATTATTATTATTATTATTATTATTAAGAAATATCACAACTTCTCATTTCTTGTAGGTGTGGATTTAAGAGTTTGAGATCAAATAGTGAGATCAGATGCCAGCTCTCACACTTGCAGTAGGCAGGCCACTTACCAATTAGTTACTTTGCTGTGTCTCATTTTCATTATGTGTAAGAATAGGAGAATAACAAGAATTGTTAGCAGTAAATGATATATTAGATGTAAAGTGCTAGATGGCTGTGCCAAAGAGAAATCAGGCAACTAAGTTAACTACTGTTATTAGAAAGCATCTAGTGATGTGAACAGTTTCAGCTTCTCTAGGGATCAGTGCAGGGTCATCACACAGAGACATTTCAGAGGGGACAGCAAGGGCTCCTCATATAAACACTTCTGTCCCAACCCCCATCTTCATGACTATTAAATGTGCTGAGAAGATCCCCAACAAGCAGCACTAGGCACACAGTCTTTTGCATGGTCCATGAGGTGAAAAGCCTAACTTCAACTCAGCACGAGAACTCACCCAATACCAACAGAGCTATATAAATGATCACTGAATAGTTGAAAACTCATACCTTTAGATTTTTAAGGTTTCTGAAATTTCTGGTATCTCATTAAAATACAACCCCCCTCCAGAAACTCTTTAAGCTGATACTAATAAATATATTAGTAACAACTAGTCTACAAGCAGAAGAAAAAATGGTAATAGTTCTCTGCTTACACTTTCATACATTTCAACACCATCCAGCCCTACCATCACCTAACAGAAATAAAATCTGTCCATGATGAAGCATGGTCCTGAGTAAACTGTCTGAAAGGAAAAAAAAAGCAAAACTTACTTTAAAAATAAAAACAGGTGGGCCCTCCCTGGTGGCACAACAGGTTAGGATGCAGCACTGAAAGCTAGCCACAGCCGCTTCAGTGGCAGACCTCTCTTGACCTGCCCACTGCTCCCCTCAGCAGTGTACTTAGTCAATCTGCCAGTCCTGCTCCCCATTCTGTCTCTGGTGAATCCTCTCGCCATGCCTGCACCTCTGGCTTGTACCCCAGTACCCTGTATGTATAAATAAATAAAACTAAAAAATAAAAACAGGTTTCTAAAATACTTACCTTGCCTCATAAAGGAAAGGGCTTTTTCTTTTAAATTCTCTGTCAACTGTTTCTTTTTAGTCAGGTAATCCAAAATATATATATTGGGAGCAAAGTTTATCATGTTCTGTTCACCACAGCCATAAGGCATCCTAATCAGCGAGGCTAAGCCATTGATGGAAGAACCAAGCACATCTCCTGAAAGCACAAAATGTTCAGTACAATCAGAAAACATTCAATAATGGCACTTGCTAAGACAGAGGTTTCCACTGAGTTTCCACAGGAGTACAACAATAAAGCAATAGCATTATTCCACGCACAGAACAGAAACTGTCTACAAGCCTGTCAAAAAAGGGATAATACAGTGATACTGAGCTTGAAGATTATCTGATAGGTAGACTTGTAGTTCAGTTAGGATACTGCATATAATGAACAAAACATAAAATTAAAAAATAGTCCTTAAGGAATTGACTGAAAAGATTATCAATCTCACACTGGAAAAGAATGTTTTGTTATTAGAAACCTTTATAAAAATAAAACTTTAATTTCTTACCAATACACTACTAATATTTGATTTGTGATTTTTTTAAGGGCAGTAGTTATAGTGTTTTTCAAAGTCCTCTCCTTAGCAAAGTAGAACTGACAAGTACAAGTATTCAAAGACTCTCAGGATCTAAAAGGATAGGAATAGTCTTCAAAGGCAGTCATTTAAATTAAATCAAACACGTGTAAAAAAAAAAAAACTCCTTTACCAACATTCTAAAATTATGAGTTAGTAGAATTAGAAATCCAGGTGTACAGAGGCTAAATTCAAATTCTAACCCCACTGTGGCTGAGCTGTATAGAGGAGAGTATCCTTCTGTGGAGTTTACTTTAGAAACTTACACCATTCCAAGTCCGCATATCTAGTGAAAATCTAATCCTAAAAAAGATTCCCAAAAAATGGAGGGGCTCCCTCCCATGAGCACACCAACAGACATGTTCAACTTTAGATGAAAGTACAGAGGTTCTATCACTGCAGGTTCTGCTTTTTGTATTCAAAGAGAACAAAACTCAAATTCAAAGAAGCAAAGTAATATTCACACATTCTGAGCTACCACATACATTTTTTTAAAAAAGTACAGTAAAAAAATGAAATATAATAAGCTATAATCCTGAGGCCTATGTGAACATATAAACCAATGTTCCTTCAGCTAAAAAAAAAGTGTAGAAATAGACTTCCCTCATTGTATGTTTGTAAAATTAACACGAGGTACTGAAACTATTGAAGGTTGCTATTTATGCTGTTATTTTGCAGATGATGTGTTACAAAATGCACAGACATCAAAATCAATCATAAATGGCACAAACTTCAAAAATAAATAAAATTTGGGCTAAACTTGGCTATATCAAGCTTCCAAAATAAACCGTAGAGTATGTCAATGACCACAGACAGATGCCTCCCTAAGTCAGGAGTTACAGCATAAATTTACAACTCATGGCTTCTCCCTGCGTGCGGGTGTGGACACGCGGGTGTGGACACGCGGGTGTGGACGCACAGTATAGACATGCGATGTGGACGCGCCGGTGTGGACGCACGGTATGGACGCGGTGTGGATGCGCGGGTGTGGACGCGCGGTATGGACATGCAGTGTGGACGCGCGGATGTGGATGCGCAGTATGGACATGCGGTGTGGATGCGCGGGTGTGGACGCGCGCGTGTGGACGCGCGGTATGGACATGCGGTGTTGGACGTGCGGGTGCTGCCTCTCCCTGCTGCGTGCTGCATCTCCCCACATGTCAACATTGGGAGAAGCTTGGGAATAACTTATTCCCCTAAATAGAGAGTTTAATTCTTTTTAAAAATTACACCTAAGACTCAAATAAAGACCTCTGTAGAGGAACTGGTTGTCTGGAGTTTTAAGAAGCAGCATTAGCACTGCAAACGAGTCTTTAAAAAAGCTCCGCAAAGGCACCTTAGGTCCCGACACCATGCAGAGTTAACAAACTGTCTGGATTTCATTGACTTCAACATTCTGTCAGCTGGTAAGTACAACCATATAAAAAAAAAAAAGTTTGTGTGAAAGCTCTGTTTCATTGTGGATTCTAAGTGCTTTTAGCTAGTGGGATGAGACAGGGGAGGGTGACTGAACTCAGTGGGGTGCTTCCTCCTGTAAGATTCACCAACTGCACAGGGAGCAGCTCCAGGCAGAGGAGCTAAGCCTCTGGTGATGAAAACCACTCAGGGAAGCTTTTCAAAATATACACAATGCTAGCCATAGCCCAACAGATGCTGACTGAGCAGGGGCAATACTGACATTCACCAGCAGACAAGAGCCACAGAAGCCAGATACTCTGCTCTTGGAAATTACCTCTGCCTTCATCCCAGGGAGGCCTTGAGACTCAGAGAGTGGTCTACAAATCAGAAGCACTGGCATTACCTCGGAGCTTGTTAGAAAAACAGAGCCCCAAGCCTCACTCGGAAACTACCAAATCAGAATTTGTGTTTATTCAAGAGAACTAATCTAGGAAACATAGTTTGCCAGGCTTTCTCTTGTAATCAGCAATCGGTACCAACGAAACGTTTTCTGCAACCTTCTCCCATTAGGACTAAGTTAGAAAATACACCTGTAAATAGATGAAGAATATACACTCAAAAAATAACCATTAGTGGTGGCGATGTACTGTTCTTACCAATTGCAGTGATCTGAATTCTTTCACTACCATTCACTGTATTAGGAGGAAATGAGAAACTCAAAGCTTTCGTGGTAGTTTGCTGGTTATCAGCCAAGTCTAATAAAATGGATTGTGAGTAAGACTTTTCTATTCCTTCAGCCTGTTTAAAAAAAAAAGGGAACACAATTAACATGGTCTCTACTCATTTATTTACAGAGAATTATAAGTAGACAATGAGATAAATTATCTAAGCTGTTGTGTCTTCAGTTTGTATAATGTTAGCTAAGCACCTACCATTTCTGGATTGTTGTCTCAGGTCTATTATTAATTTGCTTTCTAGTTAAAACAGATTTAAAAAAACAACTCTTGGGATGGCAAGGGGAATAGAAAAAGAAGATGTGTGAAACCTTCTGAAATAGTATTATTTATTATCCAAAGAGAAAGGGATTAGATACAAAGCAACACTTGATAGAGCAGGGATTCGACCCCAGGTCTGTCTCAATCCCAAACACAAGTTCATATCCACTCTCCTGATGTCTTCCTTAAAAAAAAAAAAAAAAAAAAAGCCGGGGCAGGGGCCCTCCCTGGTGGTGCAGTGGGTTAAAGCACAGCAGTGGGAAGCTGAAGCCATTTTAGCATGAGTTTGATTCCCACCAGCCCCGGAAGTGATCCACATGGTGCGGCAGACCTCTCCTGACCTGTCCGCTGCTCCCCTCAGCAGTGTACTTCATCTATCTGCCTGTTCTGTTACCCGCTCTGTGTGTAGTGAATCCTCTCACTGTCCCTGCACCTCTGGCCTGTACCCCAGTTCTGTATGCATAAATAAATAAATCTTTTAAAAAAAAAAAAAAGCTACAATCTCTCCTCTCCTATTAGTAGTCCTACTAGTGCTGAGGGATTCTAATATTCCCAGTCTACATATCAACTGGATAAAATAGGATCCCCATCAGAGTTTGTAAATGTAATTGATTGAAGCAGGCTTGCTGTAGGGTCAGGCTATAAATCCGAAGAGGAACTTGGCACTTCCAAAATATACATGTGATATATTTTCACACAGAGATGAGAAAAATATCAGGCACACCAGGAGGGTAGAAGAGATGATCAATAAAATCTTGCCAGAAATTTAACCCAGAGAAAAACCACCTCTGTTTCTCTTTCAATTATGTATTTCCATGTCATTTATTTGAGACTTCAAGTACTTGCCTTTACTAAAATCCTCTGGGTGATAGCATCAGAAGCAACAGGGGAAATAGCTGTGACAGTGAATGGAATTTCCCCCAGCTGTCTTGGCTTAACTGGGAAAAGAACAGTTGCCCCATCTTCACTGGGAACCAGAACAGTCTGCTGGTGTCCTGTGGCATTGATTTCATTAGAAGTCATCAGGATATCAAATTGGTCACTTTTCTCAATGATTACCTCAACCTGTAAGAAAACATTATCATAGTTGTATATAATAAATGCTTCTCAGGAATGTGGATTTGTAGCACCATTTTAAGTGCTATGAGGCCCAAGACTAGAAAAAGATGAGGCAGAAAGATTCAGTCAAGGAAAAGATTAAAGGGACTTTAGGAAAGCTTTATTTCTTTCTTAGTTGTTCACCAGCTACCCCAAGTTAGGTGGGGTAAGGGAACTCTTGACTTCCATTTCCAGTATTAAATTGCCACTAATATAAAATTTACAAAGCTCCCACAAGTGTTAAATTCCCTCATCATGCCAGCTCTGTGAGTGGTAAGGATGGGACCAGAAAGGTTACTTTGCATCATGGTATGTCCACCAGCCTGTTTTAAGTGTGCCATCTTGTAACACTGGTCCCATTAGAAAAAAAAAAAAATGAAACAAACAGGATGTTACTATGGTCACTGAGATCCCTGCCAAACTGATTCCAAGGAAAATGTGACTGAGCCATCACTTCTAAAGCATAGGCTGGTGATCAACCTTTGTCAAGTAAGGCAACATTGCTAATCTCATAAAGAGCAGCATTTCTCTGGGCCTTGTACTGATATTTTATGAATTCTTTTCCCATTTTAGAGATGAGGAAACTACAGCTAAGTGATAAAGGTAAGTGATAAAGATGGACACTGAATGAGGATCTTCTTCCCCTTACACTGTAAATTTCAACTAGATTAAAAAGTAAAATTAAAAAATAAGAATTAAAATGTGCTCTATAGTTATAGTGTTTAAAGAGATTATAGAATTCTCATGTAATGAATGTAATGAAGTTAATTATATGTTCCTAGTTACTCTACAGTGCCAGGCAGAAGTCATCATTTGGTTAAAACTATTATGATACTATGAGCACAATACAAACAGTGGCACCAACTCCTGCCTTCCAGGGAACTTACTGGCCCAAGAGACGCAAAGTACATGATTTAAAAAAATAACAAAATCCTTTTACTGCTCTGTACAGGAAAGAAATAATCACTGAAATAAAAATACATCCCACAAAAAGGGAGAAAATATTTGAACATCATACATCCCTAAGAAGGTAACAGCCACAATCTACAAAGATTCATGCAACTCATTGTTAAAAAGAAAAGAACCCAAGCAAAAAAACAGGCAGAAGCACTAAATAGATAAGACACTTCTCAAAAGACATACAAATGACCAATAGGCACATGAAAAAATGTTCAACATCACTTATCATCAAGGAAATGCAAATCAAAACCACAATTCTCACTCAGGCTGGTGAGACTAGGCCATATCAAAAAAAAAAAAAAAGTCAAAACAACAAATGTTGGCAAGAGTGTGGAGAAAAGAGAGCCCTCACACACTGATGGTGGACATGTAGACTGGCTCAGTTCCTACAGAAAACAGAATGAAGGTTTCCAAAATAATAAAAATAGGTCTACCAGATGATCCAGAAAGTGCACCCCTTGTTATTTATCAAAAAAATACAAAAAAAAATTCAGTCAAAAGGGTATGTGCATTCCTATGCTCATTGCAGCACTATTTACATAACTAAGCTATAGAAACAACCTTAGTGCCCAATGAAAGATGAGTGGATGAAGAAGATGTGATACATATACATGGTGGAATACTACTCACCTGTTAAAAAGATCGATTTTTGCCATTTGCAACAATATGGATGGAATTAGAGGGGATTATGCTAAGCAAAATAAGTCAAAGGAAGAAAGACAAATACCAGATGATTTCATATGTGGGATGAATATATGTAGAATACAGAGAACAAAAAAAGAACTGACAAAAGTAAATCCTAACAATGCCTAAAAGCATGACTGCAGAATGTAGGCTACTAGAAGGGGGTAATGAGAGCATAAACAAGTTGGAGAGGAGGCGTAATAGTCTACGGTAAAGGACTGCTGCTCTGGTGGGAGGTGTGGTCTGAAGAGGTGTGAACCTAGTTCCCTGAATCATGTAAGTACTGTCAACCCATGCTACCTCAATGATTAAAAAAAAAATAGTCTAGAAAATAGAATACACTGTATAAATATGGAGAGTATCAATGTAATAGAATGGGTACAATACTTCAAGAAAGGCATATTAGTTTCAAGTCAGGTCTTGAAAGAAATAAATTTCTGCCCTCTATAGTGGGCACAGAATGTCAGTGAGAAGTGGCAACATATCTTAGAGGTAGAGAAGACTAGGAGAAAATGCAGGGCAGTGAGAGAGAGAAAGACATGCATCAGAGACCACAGGAACTCTAAGGCTAGAATGGAGGGCCTGTGTAGGAAATTAAGGAAAGAATACTTAGCCATACTAAAAAATAGCCTTAGACATTAATAAGCAGAAGGAATCACAATATCTATTTTCAGTCTTCCAGAAATACATGAAATGCTCAGATGCCCAGAGCCCAAACCCCTGCACATTTTCTCCACCTTTTTCTTAAGTATAAATGTTTAACAAAATCTTACCTCTGTGGCCTCTTTCAAATAATTGAATATGGTTACTTCCAAAGCAAATTCTTCACCTCTTACAACTGAGTAGGGAAGGTTCAAATTAATGAAAAAAGGTTGGAAGGCTCGTAGCTGGAAAGAACGAAATTAATACATTATTTAAGTCAAATGCTTCACATTTTAATGACACTGAAAGCAAACCTCACAAAATCTGTGAAGCTTAAAAACTTCACTGAGAAATGCTTATGAAATAAACATCATAACATTTTATCCCAAACGAATGATGGTAAATTGACTTGATTTATGTTACTTCACATAATAATCAGCACACTTTATTAAATACCACTAAGAATCAAGCATTTCACACCAGCAACTTAATCATTACAGCCCGATAAGGCAGATATTGTACTGGCATTTTACAGAAATCTGATGTCCAGAGATCTCTATAACTATGTAAAAGACCATGTTACTGGTAGGTGGACATGCCAGAACTGGATCAGCATGTGGATACCAAAGCAAGGTGCTCTTCTACACTATAGTTGACTCCAAACTATCCTTATCCCATTAATCTACTTTAAAAGCCGCTGGCTAATCAAATAGCCCCATTCGGGTGTAACGTCCAAATGATCTTCTGCCCACTACCTTCTACACATATACACATGCACTGCCTCATTTATAACCAAACTCTTAGTGTTGTCAAGTCCAGCAGAGAGGCTAATGACGCCCCAAGAATAGTTGTCATTCCCTCTAGAGGTTTATGTGGACATTTCAGGAGGGGTCTTATGATTGTCAAACAACTGCAGGATGCTGTGGGCATGTACTGGGTGAAGGTCTGCAGGCTTAGCAGAGGCCCAGACAGAGAAGAGTCCCGTAGCCCTCATGATTCTTAAATGTCCCTTTATTCATACATGTAGATAAAGTACCTGCCTATAATAGCCCAAGTTTCCAACCTAGTTTAGGTTCATATATGAACCCAAAGCATTTTTCAATGAACATTGAATTTTTCATTAAGACATTTATTGCGTCAATCAAGAGGCGACTGCATTTTAGACTGTAACAAAAGGCATTCAGAAATTTACATCATCACATGCAACATCACTCCTTTTAAGTTACAAAAACAATACATGTATAGAAACTATATCAGCAACTGCTATATACAGGGGGATTCTATGCATGCACGAACACTGAAATATGTTACTGTACCTTCTAGTGCTGCTATGCCTGTTCGCTTACATACAGAAATATTTATCATTTTATTATATGTTCCTTTACTTTTCTTTCTCTATAGTATTTCACTTCAGCCATAATATTAATTTAATTGAGTATATAGGCCTGTAGCATTTTCTGTGAATTACACTTTAGATGGTAAAAGTACCAAACAGGATAATTGCTATAAAAATGGAACCCCAGGAATGACAGAGGTTAGAGCTACTGGTCTAAGCCAGTGACTAGCTTAGGAAGTTACATAGGATACGATCTAACAAAAGCTGTGAGGGAATGTCTGCTAGTGGACATTATGCTTGTCCTCAGAACAGGACACACAGAAACACTGGCTCTACTGTTATCTGGAGGTGGCTGGATTTAGCCAATAATACACCTTCTTTACAAAACTTATGGACCTAACACATTGAACAGTCTGACACAGTTCACATTCTAAAATATAAAGCCAATGAAAAACAAACACTGAACAATCTCTATGTTGTGATCAAAATTGGAAACTTTTATTTTTTTATTTTAATGTGTTTTTAATATATTGTTTTACATCATCCTTCATTTCTGTACAATGTATGTTTTTTCATCTCACTTGTAACCCCCATGGAATTTCCACCACCACTTCACCCATGTGCCATCACCACAGTCCCTTGTGCTCTTCCCTGTTCATTGATCCTATTCCTTTCTCCCTCCCCCACTCCCAGGATGTCTCTGGTTATAGTTGTTGGAAACAATTATTTTTTTGAAAAAAATATATTTAGGAGCTGACACTTTCTTAGCTCCATGACCTAAGTTATAAGTACTCCTTTAATATACTACCTCCACTGGAGCAGCTGTCAGTCCAAGACCTAAGTCCTCAGAGATCACAAAAGCAGTTGCCAGCCAAGAAGTGATAGAGTCAGGTACAGTAACTTCAAAATCTTGCAAAGTCCTGGAACTGAAGTCAATATAAACACAGAAATCATAAAGTCAAGAAATGACACATTTCAAAATAAATCAACCTAAACTATTTTGGGAAGTATTTTTAATTTTCCAAATCCTTTACATATCTAACTTTATGAAGAGATCTAAGAATAAAGCAGTAGATGCCACATTCTCAGGAAAGATTATAGCAAGGTCTAATGCTGCACACTGATCCAGAGTCTAGTACAATCCTTCTAAAATGTTTGTCTCCAGAGTGAAGATTATCTCCATAAAGTTTATAGAAATAATAGGTGTATTTTCAAACTTAACACATTTCTCTCAATTAGCATAAATGTTTCTCCCCAAATCCAGTCAAACAATTTAGCCATCAGGTCAGGTTGCACAGAGCTTATCAACAAACCTGAATTCCTTTCACTGAACACAGCCTCCCCCTGTGGTTCATGAGGAGCTAAAGGCAGGAGGAATAATCATGAGTGCTTCCCAGATGTATGTTCAGTAATTTTTCTCCAAAAGAACTATGAGACTTCAGGGAAATAAAAATCATCCTTCATTAGAAACAGGTCCAGCCTCTCCCTGACAATACTCTCGTTATCACAATTTGCATGTGGCTTTATCAGATACAGAACATCCTAAAATGCTAAACATTCTAAAATAAAGTATTTACGTATGCTCAACATTCTAAAACCTCTTGGTCTATTTAGTTCTTAATCACATTACATTTGTACATAAACATTGGGAAAAATATTTATAACTTTCAATAGACAAAATGTAATAGACAAAGAACTTTATAAATTCTTACCCCATCTTGGTGTCCAGCCAAATCCAAGTCTCAGGAAAATGTTTTCTGATGCGTGGACTGCTCCCTGAAGACAAGTCATTAAAGTCTACTGGGTACCCTTCACTTTCCTCTGCAAACCTCTCAGGAAGCAAGTCATCTACAAATAAACATTGATAACTGTTAAGGGGAAAGTCACTGTAGAGAACAATTATAAACTTAGCCCACATTATCAAGTCACCTCTCAGCTTGACAGGACGATTGAGTTCATCTTAGCCAGCTCTATACCATTTAACAGATAAGAAGTTTGAGGCTCAGAGAACTCAACTGTCTTACCCATTGCCGATTGGCCAGTTACAAAAGAGGCAGAACTAAAAAAAAAATTACTATTCCCTGCCCCTGCAGCAAATACCTGAAAAACTACTTATAATTCAGTTGTTAAAAATAAGCTAACTCATATTTTTAAAAATGAAAGCTCCTCTTTTTAGCTCTCTAGTGCTGATTACCATTGGTCATATCAAACTCTTTTTAATCAAACATTACAGTCATCCATGTTACCAACTTGTTTCCTAAAACAATTAATAGTTATTAGCTACTTCTATTTTCTCTACTTTAAGTCTAAAGTTATTTAAAATATATATATACATGTATGTGTATATATGTAATATATATACACACACACACTAAGTAGGTGCCAAGGATACAGAGATGAAAGGAGAGAGCAAAATTCATATGCTATGAAGACTGAAAAATAAAAACTAGATTGCATGACAGGTGATAACAGACATATGTAAAACTCCTGTCATACAGAGAATGACTGATTTTACACAGAATATGAACAATGAAATGATAATGATTAAGAGTACAGCTGGGGGGGGAAAGGATTCCATTTGCATTTTCCTTAAGTCTTCAGAAAAAGAGTATCTCACACAAGAAAGAAAAAGAAAGCTAGGGATAGACAGAGACTGTGACAATGAGTATTAGGTAAGAATGGCATAAGATGAGAAGAGAAACAATGGTTGCGTCCAGACTTTAAAATCCCATGCTGAAGGATTTGGACACAGTCCTTTAAGTCCACTGAATGGTCCACTGAATATTTAAAATAAATTAGAAACATGACGTAGACCATGTTCATGATAATGATAACTGTGGCCTCTGTGCACAGTGGCTTAGAGCTGGGGAAATAGAGAGCAGTCAATGAACAAACTGAATCTGAAGAATAAGATAATAAGTAATTACAGACTTATAAGTGTCAAATATATACTAAACATTTTGCATGCTTTGGGATTTAACCTCATGAAGTCCTGCAATACAAGTAATATTATTAGTCATATTTCAGAGGAAAACCTGAAACCTAGAGAAGTTAATTGATTTGCTGAGGGCCATATAGCCAGAATTCAAAGCCAAAAAACCAATGGCAAAATCCCTTCTTAACCACTCTGCTATGACAGAAAGTGTTAGAAAATTAAGGATGAGGCTACTGATTTGGATATCAGATTAAATCTTGATTTTACTCAGAGAGATATGAAATCACATCAATTCAAGGAATCATATGTCAATCAATGCATACTATGGAAGAGCAAAGTAATAAAGAGGGAAAAGATCATAAGCTTGATTTGTGACATTTAATTTGAGGTATTTGCAACACATCAGGGTGGAAAAAGAGAGGGATGAAAAAACAATAGAGTTGTTCCATGTATGGGTTTAATGGAGACATGGAAGGACAAAAGACTAGGAAAGAATTCTACTAAACTGATTAACTGTGTGATACAGGCCAGGGATTGGAGGGAAATAAAGGCAGAAAAAGCTAAAGTAAATCAAGAAACTAAAGATCCTAGTAAGACCAAAAAAGATACTGAATAAATTAAGGGAAGTGAGAGAATATACGTGAGAGAATATACAAGGCATCTGAAATGTTAGGAGTAGAGCAGTGTTCAAGAGATAATATGACCTTGGTGACTATTATTGTGGTGATCGCAGGATAGTGGAAATTAGCTGAATCAAGCACACAGATACTCAACTCCCTTAAGAGTTAACACTGAAAAGAGTTAAGACTGACCCTTTCGTAAGTGTCATTAACTTAGAGAAAGGGTAAGGAAAAGTAGGTAACCTTGAATGGTGATTTAAGGAACTGTAATTGAAATTTTTGAGTTTCAAATGATCAGAGGCTATTAATTGAGTATTGCTGAACAATGGTCTTATAAGAGCCAAAACGCTGAACCTAATGTACCTACTATCAACAAGAGAGGCAGAAAAACGAATGTTGATCCTGTAAGGTTTCCACGGGCACAATATACTAGTGAGAGTGTCAGAGTTCTTCCTTTAAGAGTAAAAAGGAAGAAGGTTCTCAGAAAAGGTAAAGATTCAATAAGTATTCCAGGATTAAAGAAAGTTGGTAAGTAAAGCTGACCTAAGATGGGTAAAAGCCGAAAAACAAGAGAATGGAAAAGACTGCTAAAAAAAGGTGGTCTAGGATAAATGATTACAGGAAGAAAACTAAACATACCATATTCCCTAATACAACAATATCATATGGCTTCATAAAACTGTAATACTAGTGGATCAGGTCTTGTAGCAGCAAGAATCAACCCAAAGTCAGAGAGTTCACCAGCATGTAAGAGAAGGTCTTGGTTCCAGGTGAACACAAAAAGGTAGGGAACAAAGACACTTCAAAATATGTTGCTCCTTTTATTAAAAACAGATTACAAGCACAGTCAAAAATGTACTCCATCCAAAAGTTACGGAGAACAAAAGGGAAACATTCATTTCACAGACTTAGAGGGAAACCCTGTCATAGCCCAGATATATGTATAAGTGCATTAAGCACCAAAACTTTCGAGATAAGAAAACGGAAAATGAAAACCCCAATATCAATGTTCACCCCGAAAGTTACTATACCTATATAAGTAATTTTAAATATATAAGGTGAAAAAATTTTAAAAGCGCATTGACATATTTTACTTACAAGCAAACTCAATGGACTCCTGCACAGGTTTTGTATCGGTGAATACCCAGAGGCCACATTCCTACAAAGAATGATTTTAATTTGATTTGTAAATAACAGTCACAGCAGTCTCCTATACTCTACCTCATTCTTGCTTATTTCTTATGCATAATGTGAAAGTATTTCCTTTTGTTGTGTTCTTCCTTATTTTTCAGAACTTAGGTGTATGCATGTCCAATCCCTATTTTCCTCAAATTACAAGAGCAAATAAAACTTACCTTAAAGACTGCAGAAGAATCCACGAACATGCCTAAATAATATCCTGTGTTATAAAGTTCTAACTCTTGAACCACCTAAGGAGAAAATGCATAGAATGAACATTTTCATATCAACCTGTTCCTTTCTCCGCAACTTTTCATGTATATTTAGATAAGATACAACCTATAAAATATTACATTTCTTTAATCTTATTTTTACCCTTTTCTGTGATCCAGAGTTCCTAAGACGTAGAGGCCTGCATTTTGCCAGAAGGAACTTAAATGTCACTGACTGGCAAGGCTCATTTTCTCAGAGACAAAGAGGTTAAATTTGATGGTTAAGGCCCTCCCTGGTGGCACAGTGGGTTAAAGCACAGCACTAAGAAGCTAAAGCCACTTCTGCATGAGTTCGATTCCCGCCTGCCCCAGAGGTGACCACATGGCATGGCAGACCTCTCCTGACCTGCCCACTGCTCCCCTCAGCAGTGTGTCAATTTGCCTGTTCTGCTCCCCACTCTGTCTCTCTGGTGAAGCCTCTCACCGCCCTTGAGCTTCTGGCCTGTGCCCCAGTTCTATATGCACAAATAAATAAATCTTTAAAAAATAAATAAATAAATAAAAATATTTGATGGTTAATATAAGTTCTGCAAAGTGTCAGTTAACAAGACATTTCAAAAACAATTCAAAAGAGAAAATGCTAATAATTACTAAGCAGAAAAATATTTAACCTCATTGATAATCAAAGCAATGCAACTTTCAACATCAACAATATATATAGTTCCTTTCAATAATAAAATATTTGTATATACCACACTAACAATGCTATTCTTTTAAACAAGTGAGTAAAATACACCTAAAGTAAATTGGCAATTTCTCCAGAAATTAAACACAATTTCTGGTATGACCCAGCAATCACAATCTTATGTATATTTACTCAAAAAAACTAAAAGTAGGGACTCAAAAACTTGCAGGTCAAAGTTCATTCTCACATTCAGCATTAAAAAAAAGCAGGAAAAAACAACCTAAGTGTCCATTAACAAAGATGGATAAACAAAATGCACTGCATACATACAATGGAATATTATTCAGCTATAAAAAGAAAGTTGCACTATATGCTATGACTTGGATTAGGTACACAACATTTTATTATGTGAAAAAATGCCAGACACAAAAGGGTAAATTTGATATAATTCCATTTATATGAAATATCTAGATAGCTATGCAAACACATAAAGACAGAAGTAGATTAAAGGTTACCATGACCTGGGAAATTGTTGCTTAATGTTTACAGATTTTCAATTTGGAGTCTGGAAATACTGATGACAGTTGTACAACATTATGACTGTATTTAATACCATCCAATTAGATACTTAAAGTGGTTAAGATGGAAAATTTTACAAGATATATTTTACTACAATAAAAAAATCAAGATATTATAAATTACATTATCACTAACCAGGCAAGACAAACACAGAAATAAAAATCACTGGAGTTTCTAGGTAGAAGTGTTTTTTTAACACTCCAGAGGTTTTAAATTAAGTGCATATAACCACTGCTTTTGCTATACTAATAGTCAATGCTACACTCACAGAAGCAGTGGAGGTATCAGTGAGTGAATCAGGCTCTTACCATCACTAACCTCTGTGGCTATCACCTGTGACCTTGATTGTGTTAATGCAGAAGGTGCTTGGGAGCGTGACCATGGGCCCATGTGCCTGAACCTGGAGTGTGGGTGTCTGTGCATGCGCAAGTATGTACACCTGAGGCTCAAAAGCTAGGGATATGAGGGTGGTTTCACCAGAGATGGCCTAGGGCTTCCAGAGAAGAAGCTGCATTACTAAAGAGGCCAGACCTAGAGCCCACTAGAGAGAAGATGCCAGAGAGAGCCCTGAGAAAGAGCTTAAAAATTTGTGGGGGTGAGGGGGACTCTCCCTGGTGGTGCAATGGGTTAAAGCACAGCACTATGAAGCTCTCCAAAGCCACTGCAGCATGAGTTTGATCCCCAGGCAGGGAGCTGACCCACATGGCATGGCAGACCTCTCCTGACCTGCCCACTGCTCCCCTCAGCAGTGTACTTCGTCGATCTGCCTGTTCTGCTCCCCACCCTGTCTCTGGTGAATCCTCTAACCCCCCACACCTCTGGCCTGTACCCCAGTTCTGTAAGCATAAATAAATAAATCTTAAAAAAGATTCATGAGGGCCCTCCCTGGTGGCGCAGCGGGTTAAAGCACAGCATCGAGAATCTGAAGCCGCCTCCGCATGAGTTCGATTCCCGCCTGCCCCGGAGGTGACCACATGGCGTGGCAGACCTCTCCTGACCCGCCCGCTGCTCCCCTCAGCAGTGTACTTCATCGATCTGCCTGTTCTGCTCCCCATTCTGTCTCTGGTGAAGCCTCTCACCGCCTCTGGCCTGTACCCCAGTTCTGTATGCATAAATAAATAAATCTTTAAAAAAAAAAAAAAAAAGATTCATGAGTGGGCCCAGCACACCCTGACTGGCCCATGTCTGCCTCCTTGCATGACAGCTCCCTGCTAGTGTGCCTGTATACCTGGTTCCCTGAGAGCATTAAAGCCTGGAAAGTCCACCCCAGGCTCTGGGGCTTTCTGTATCTTCCAGCCAAATCAATAGTGAACCTGCCCTGTGCTTGCTGGTGCTATAAACAGGCACCAAGAGGAGAACAACAGAAAGAAAACAGAAAGTTCATGTCGCAACAAGCTGGCAAATATAGTTAGCTCAGCAGACAATGGAGCCAGTGCCAGAAATAATGGAGAGAAAATACTTTCGTTCCACATTTCAAATTCTCCTACAGAACACAAATACATGCAAGTTCACCTTCAACTAACACTTGGATGTGAATTGGTGGAATCATCTAGGAAGAAGCCTCTACCTTGTAAAGAAATCTTCCTTTGCTCACTGGCTCAATAAAGACACTGCAAAGCTGCAGCATAGACTAATGAGAGGAAAGTTATTCCTGGAAGATCCGTACACTTAAATTATTCCAGGACATTCAAGACTCTCAGCAGCACATACAAATTTAATAGGAATGAAAGAAGCCAAAATGGTCTATTAGCACACACTACTAACTCCCTCTTCCAGAGCCAGTTCTGGAGAATCAATAAAAACAAGCAAGAAACTGGGAGGAGTGAGACAAGAAAAGGCTGGAAAGAGTGAAGGATATCCTGAACTACTGTTCTGAGAGGAAGCTGGTGGCAGAAAGCTGCAAGGAGAAGCAGAAGACAAGCTGGAGGAAAGGTTTTTAAAACCCACTTTTGTTTCTCTTCAGGCAGTTACCCAAGGATAGTCCTTCTGTTAAGGGGAAGATTTATTTATTTATGCATGCAGAACCAGGGTACAGGTCAGAGGTACAGGGGCAGTGAGAGGATTCACCAGAGATAGAGCAGGGAGCAAAACAAGCAGATCAACGAAGTATACTGCTGAGGGGAGCAGAGGGTGAGACAATAGAGGTCTGCTGCACCATGTCACCTCTGGGGCCGGGGACAGAACTCACACTGAGGTGGCCATGGCCAGCTTATAGTGCTGTGCTCCAGCCCACTGCACCACCAGGGAAGACCAGAAGAATAAATTTTAAATGTTAAGTAAAAAAGTATAAGTAAGTCCTAATTAGAACAAGAATTATCATACCTATAAAAGGGTTCAATAAGCTTATGAAAAGATGACTACCATATTTAAAAATTAAATTATAATAGTATGCTCTAGTTATACTTAAAACTTTCAAAAGATGGAAAATAAAAAGCTGAAAAGATGTGCAAATAATCAATATCACGTGTTTGATAATGTTTGATACCTATGAAATGCCATGACTTCTTTCAATATACTCAAGTTCCAGGTTCAGTGAGGACTATCATTATTTATAACCATCACACAATATATAACCAAAATACAAAGTACTGCAAATTATGTAAAGCTCTCCTCTTCAATATCATCGGGAATGGTCTATCAATTTCCTAGAATTCGCTTACGAGTCTTAAATTTTAAGGTAAGGTTAAAATGAGGGGAAACTCCAGGTGGCACATTCCCTGTGCGGCAGCAGACATGGCCACATCAGCCTCTTCCCAACATAACACTACACTGCAGCTTCTTTTTCACTTGGAAATTTTAGTGATTATTGACATTACTTGAAAAAGAACTAATGATATTTCCTTTAGATTTGAAATATGACAATAACATTTCTTTTTTCTCTTCTAACATTTTTTTTATTATTAAGAAAAAAACAAAACACTAAACTCACATTTTCCATTGTAATGTCATTTGAGGCATTCATCATATTCACACTTTTGTCAACAGCTACTATCCCAACTATTGAGTCAGGTTGTGTCACAGAGATCCTAAGAGAGACCTTCTCGGATGGTTCAGCATTAGTTTTACTCCAAAATAGATTTATCTAAGAAAGGAAGAAAAAAAGAATTGAGTTATTTCACTAATTATATGGCTTGCCAATTGCAGACTCATGACTCAATATTTAGCAGATTGTCTACATTTGCTCAGCTCAGGAGTAACTAAAAAACCACACACAATCCTTCTCCAGGGAATGGAATATAAAAGCTACTCCCATGATGTCTACAAGTCAAGCTGTTTCTCATAGTGGCATAATTCTGAATTATCCTTTCATTTCACTCTTTCCTACTCCCTTCTCTATCTCTCAGACCTCAGCTCCTCAGACAACAGTGTCTGCCGTACCTGAGAAAGGCCAGTTTCCCAAAAGGAAGGCCAGGGAAGAAGAAAGAAAACTATAGATAACTGTATATTGGCCACCTGGAATTAAAAAGGAGTGCAAGGCAGAGCTCCCCTGGGGACTCAAAGACTAACTCTGCTATGGGCAGACGAGAGGAGAGTTGTCTTTTCTAAGGGATGATCAGAACAAACAGTAGTATTTGTCTCCATGAACTTCCCATCATGACATTCATCAAAGCACGGTAGTACTTATATGCCTTAAGGAGAGTCAATCCTCTCATCACAGATGAACAAAATGTTTTTGTCATGAGCCCCTCCCTTCTAGGAATGTGCATTTGATGACCAGATTCTCCACAGATCTCTACTCGCAAGGTATCCATGCTCACTAGAAATTTGTAATGGGTTAGTTTCCAGACTAATGAAAGAAATAAGCCAAAGATGAGCTCTGCTTCCACACACCACTGCAGACAACGACTCCCACACCTCTCAAGTCACCCTCACAGCAACATCAGTATCACACGAATTCTATAGTTCCACTAGGATTCCACACCAGAACAATACTGACTCAAGTATTTGAAAAGTTCTGAAATAGCTTCAAGGATTTGAGCTAACGTCTTAAAGTCAAGAAATACAACGTATAAGTAAGACTCAGTGACGAATAATTCCACATGGGAAAATGTGTGTGTGTGTGTGTGTGTGTGTATAGTGACTAACTATGAAAAGGTTTAATCATTTAATATGAAGAGGTTTAACAAGTTCTAGAAACATACAAATTTCTAACCCACTTAATGATACTTTAATGGTCCAATAATTCTCTTTTAAAGAAATACTACACTTCTCAGATTTCACTAATAGTTTAATTTTAAACGTTATTACTTTAAATCTTACGTTATTTTTTATTCGTATGTATTTTTATTTACTATTTTATTTGGATAACTTTGGTTTGCATCTGTATTTTGGAAGTATTTAACCCCATTTCAGGTGCTATTACCTTAGCACACCCACCATCTTACCTTATTTTTAAAAACAAGCTGAATTGGAATTTTTAGAACATCATTTATAATTTCCCCATCATCTTCAACATAATACACAATGATACAGGCTTTTGGAGCCCAAGAATTTTCTGGGGTTAAAGAGAAGGTTGCTGAATGTTGCTTGCCTGCAGCAACCAACTGTCCCCTGGATATTACCTGAAAAAAAAAAAAAAAGAAGACAAATTTAATGCATGGTAAAATTAGTAAAACTCTCACCTGCATTACATTTATCATAATTTTTGCCATACACACAAGCTCTTGACTTAAACCACTATTAAAGCCCTTTAGTATGTTAAACAAAACACTCCACCCGCAGAGTACAAACTGGGAAACAGAAAAGGATAAGCTAGCAATCCTAATAGAGGCAACAGTCATTTCACACTCAAAAAAATCTATTTTTGAATGGAAGGGGTACAGAACACCACTGGGAAAACTGGAATTGTAAATGTCAAGCAACTTTTTTATTTTCTTTTGTGTTTTCCTGATGGTTTATAATTTGATGCAGTGAACGTATGTGGTTTATCTCATAAAATTTAAACAGAACATAAGATTTAATTATCCATCTTCAGTTAGAAATGAAAATATAGTGGAGAAAGAAAAACGATATTTTGATTATACTACAAAAAGAACAGGCTAAAAATGGGTGTGAGGTTAAATTTTTTTAATTGGCAAGTTTAGTCTAGACATAATATAGGTATCAATTATGATGCATCTAAAATTTATAAAATTCTATAATAAATTACCATGTAGCTTAACTCCTTTAATGGTTTGTTGCCATCAACCACCAATTGAAAAGGTGATCCCACCTAGAAAAAAAAATCCTAATTAATATATACCTATTAGTGGCAAGACTGCAATTAAATAATACATTTTAAATGATTGTAAGCTTTACCTTTATATTTTCATCTCTTGTTTTCAGCTGGATGTATGTTTTACTAGGAGACACAAACATGCTATGAACTGCCAGGCTATTTGTACTCGAAAGAAAAGAGGCCTAGAACAAAAGAGAAGGGACTGGTAGATTTTCCTCCTTAGTAACACCTTGGAAAAAGAAGCCACTATTGAATGATTATTAAAAGGAAAATTCACTTTTACTTTTTTACACAGGAAAAACACATTCCCAGACATTGGAGCTTCTTCTTATAGTTTATACCACAAACAAAATGATAGTTTTAACACAGAGAAGGGGTCTTTTCACTATCATAATCTAAGAGGAAAAAAACATAGTCCTAACTTATTTCAGAAACAAAGGTATATAATCAGGAAACAATCAAGAAGAGACAATGAAATGAAAAAGATCCTTTCCTTCTCTCTATGACACAAGCTCATTTACAAATAAGAAATCCCCATTTGATCCACAAATACTCAGAGCAAGTATCAAAGAGGAGACACATTTGGAGGGCTGAACAGTAAAAGAGTGTGTGTGTGTGTGTGTGTGTGTGTGTGTGTGTGTGTGTGTGTGTGTTACAGTCCCATCTGAGATATATATGTATATCTATATATCAGAAATGGAAAAGAGCTCAGCAAAGGAGTGTGAGCACACACACACACACACAAAATAATACCTCTTTCACCTCAGCCACTACCAAAACACAGTTTTACATGATTGAAACTCAAAATAGACTGGGAATTAGAGGAATTTATCATGTCCATGTCACGTGCACTTTGACCTCTAACACATTGGGTGCCCACCACAAGATTACAACTTTAATCCTGCTGTTGCAGTAGCATAATGATGGGAAGCAGCACCTTCAATAGTAGCTCACTGGAATCTTCCAGGACTGGAAATTCGATCTTAAAGATTCCATTTTGGGGGACAGTGTAATTTATGGTCTGGAGAGCTTCCACTTCCTGATTTCCATTGTTCCATCGGCTCCAGTAGTGAGTATCATTTCTCTTTACCACTGTAATGACAACGTTGTTTCTTCTTTCTTCAGGAGTGAGTAGGTTGCCATCAGAGCGAATCACTTTCACCTAATTGTCAAAACATGACATTTTAAAAACAGGTAACTAGAGAAGTAAAGGATTTAAATTCAGTTGAGTTCATTTCCCTCTGTGCTATTCCCATGAAACTGAACTCTCAAGCATTATTGGTAATGCCCAAAATGAGGCCATGTGTTCTTTCTCTAGGAGACACCTGACAACACTAATGACCACTCCTTCCTTTTATGAATGCTTCTCTTCCTTTCCACAGCTTGACATCAACCTCCATCACTCCATACTCCTTTCTGTTTCCTCTCAGCATCCTCTTTGGCTCCTCTTCCCTCTTCCTAAATGTGGGAATTTGTCTGTTTTCTCTCTTCCTCAGAGACCTCAGCACTTCTGCTATTATCCTTACCTTGCTCAGGAGTTCACACTCAACATTTCCAACTGAAGAAATGTATTTCCTCTATATCCCTGTCACCTCATCTTCAATCCATCTACAGGTGAGCTACCATGTCACCTTTCCTACTACAAATTCTGCCAGAGCTGACACCTCTAAATATTCCCTCCCTCTTCTCACCTCCCAATCCAGTGTTCATCAAGTCCTGTACTACGCTCTCTCATCCTCTCCACTCCCATATCCACCACCACAACGGTGCTGATTGCCTCACCTCTGAACTGTCGTCAGTCTCCCACACACAGCCCTGACCTATGTCTCTGTAAGTAATTTATCAGACTGCTTTTGACACACTACCCAGAATGCAAATTCCAAAAGTATTCTCCATACTACCTGTCTCCCACTCGGGACATTTAAAATCCCACTGATCTCTTAACAAATAATTTAAACCTTCCCCTTCCATATAGAATCCCTCAATGATCTTCATCCCTTTCCAAAGCCAACTCTTCCTCCCTGAACTATCATTCTCTCGCTTCACTTATTTGGAAGTTACAATTATCAGTCTTGTTACTTCTTTTGGGGTCTTTTTTTTGGGGGGGGAGGAGGAGAGCAGAAAGAAGGTGAAGGGAACATGGCTTAAATTACAAAATCAGGGCCCTCCCTGGTGGCGCAGCGGGTTAAAGCACAGCACTGAGAATCTGAAGCCACTTCCGCATGAGTTCGATTCCCGCCTGCAGCCTGCCCCGGAGGAGACCACATGGCGTGGCAGACCTCTCCTGACCCGCCCGCTGCTTCCCTCAGCAGTGTACTTCGTAGATCTGCCTGTTCTGCTCCCCGCTCTGTCTCTGGTGAAGCCTTTCACCGCCCCTGAGCCTCTGGCCTGTACCCCAGTTCTGTATGAATAAATAAATAAATCTTTAAAAAAAAAAAAATTACAAAATCACTGAAATGAGAAGCTAAAAGTTCTCTTGATTCATTCAACAAGTTGTGATGCTTCCTTTCTTCCAGGGTCAACAAATAATGGCAGGCAGGGAAGCTAAATTCAGTCTTTTTGTAAATGAAGCTTTATTAGCTCATTGCCAACCTCTCTTGGTTACAAAATGGCTGGGATGGCCTACCCACTACAGTGGCAGATGAGCAGCTGTGACAGACATCATATGGCCCACAAAGCTGAAAATATTTGCCATCTAGCATTTTGCAGGATAAGTTTGCCAACCCCTGCTTTACAATTCCTGCAGAGGTATAGTCATAATACTAAACTTATCTGGCTTTGAATATTCTGTGCATATTTTCTTGTCATCACTACAAAAACATGAATCCAGGACAGGAACTGGGCAGCATGCCTTGCACACTGACACAGTTCACTCAATTAAGAAGCGTTAATTCAGCATTCTCTCAAAAGATGAGAGATGAACTGATGAATTTTTAATTTCTAAATTTTTAAATTCTAAAACTGAAAATAATCATAATAAAAATCAAATAGAAGTTGAAACTTTTTGACTACCACATCATTTCTTTAATGAATTAATAAACCTCAAAGTAGTAACCCAATAAATGTACTAAATATATACTGAGAGAAAATATTCTTGTTGGAAATTACTTCTCTAAAAAAGCTCAGAGGTCATTTGGAAACAACACTATATGCCTAATATATCTAACAGAAAGTAATCTACCTACTTTTGGCTTGAAAAGCACTGAAAAACACTATTACTTTTTTTGTTTCATTAAGTTGAGCTTATTGCTAGAGAGCATTAATAAATATGCCAACTTACAGTGGCTGTGAAGTTGAGAGAAGGCTTCAAGACTGTAGTATAATCAAAGAACTCAATGATGTAATCATGCTGCTTGAAAAATACATTGGTGCTTGCATTTCTTGAGATACCTGTTTTGAGAATTGTACCATTTAGAGCATAAAACAAGTATTTCACCAACAGCATCATTCTACCAAATCTCTCCCTCTCTACTACTCTTACACAAGGGATTAGGAAATTAGGACACACATTTCCACATCTGTGTGGCCACTAAGAGAACCATACAATTCTATTGCATCTTCCACGGACCCCTCTAAATACCATCATTGACATTCCCCGTCAGCGCCATTACTGCCAACAGCCAAGGCCACTGACGGAATAATCTTTCACTCCTTTAGGATTAATGAAAGCTGCTGAAATAGCAACAAAAGGTCCAAGTAACTAACCTTTGCTTTATTATTAAAAGAGACAACTGTTAAGGAACAGTAAAATTTCAGAAGATAACAGTGATTAAAAGAAGTTTTTTAAAGACGGTTAGTCCACTGACAAGGTAGACCTTCCTATATAATTTTCAGGTTAAAAAATAAAGACTAGGCCCTCCCTGGTGGCGAAGTGGGTTAGGACGCAGCAATGCAAGCCAGTGGCAGCTGCTTCAGTGCAAATTCGATCCCCCGCCCCAGGGGGTGATCCACATGGTGCTGCAGACCTTTCCTGACCCGCCCTCTGCTCCCCTCAGCAGTGTACCTCATCAATCTGCCTGTTCTGCTCCCCTCTCTGTGTCTGGTGAATCCTTTCACCACCCCTGCACCATTCTGTATGCATAAATATAAATCTTTAAAAAAAAAAAAAGATCTGGCCATCAAATAATACCAAATTTAAATAAAGAAGACTAGAATGAAAATATTACAAATATCTAGCACAGTGGTTGAAGTTCAAAATAAGTTTCCTCTTTATGATGAAAATATTCAGCAAGTAGGCTAACTAATAGTAGGGTAACTCAGTATTAAATAGCATACCTGAAAAGGCACAGATGATGCCAAATGAATGCCCTGGTTATAATAGGGAGGCAGAATGGCAGCACATAAATAGCTTTCCCTTCATTTCCAAGTCTACAAACCTGTTAGTGATTCTGTGACTGAGGCTAAAATTTCTACTGGTCCAGGGGAAGACATATGCATATGTGCAGAAAGATCATCTGAAAAATCCATTACTTTTTTCATCTCTTCATCATCAAAAGAGAAGTTTGCAGATCCATTTATCTGTTTTGACAAGAAGTCCAATTTTATTCTTCACTTTAGCAATTCAAATTGTAGAACCAAAACTGGAACTAAGTCACAATAAATTGACAGCGACATGGGTTCAATAAAGGGATAAATTATCCCGTATCTTATGCTGGAAACTCTTGCTGTTCTTTTGCATTTTTGTTAACTTTTTCAGGACAAAATCTCATTTCTAAAAGTGTAACGGGGTAGCCCCAGGAAAAGGGAATGTTCCAGGTTCCCTGCCCCACCCAAAGGAGGGTGGAACTGAAGTTGAAGCTGGAGAAAAGACTGAGAAAGGAAAAAAGCAGGATGGACAGCCAGAAAGAGACCTGAGGGAGGCACATGGAGCATAGGGAGACATGTGAAGAAACAGTGCTTGCTTTTTGGTCTTGGTCAGGGTGAAACAGATGTGGGTGAGAGACCCTTGGGGAGGTTAACAATGGCAGTGTTTATCTGATTTTGATTTTGTTCTTTTCTTCCCAGACTTGTCTGGCTGTTTCTGACCCGTTTCTATGGGTCCAGGCCAGAAGGTGCTTACGACTTGTGGCAGCTTTCAGGCCTCGCTTCGGGCCAATCCCTTTTGGGTGGGCTTTTACCCACGAGGGGATGGGTAACTTCAAGTGCTTGATTTAGAAACTATATTCTTTGTCTTTTCTGTATTGCACAGTGACTGTGCTCAAGTTTCTTTCCATTAAAGGTCTTACATGTTTTGTCTTGATGCAGCAGGTAACAGAACCTATATAGAGCAGGCAGGTTTGGGGTCCAGAGGTCCCCCCTCGCTGATCTGTAACAGAAGTACAGATGTACGTTTTCCCCATAATGAATACAAGATGTATGCAAAAGTCACCTTAAATTTTTTTGTAATGTTTTTCTTCACTCCCCAAAAGGATAAAGGTAGAAACGTAAGTGTTACATCTCCTTTCACTGGCTTTCCATATGTATATCTGAAAAACAAACGTTTTTAACTTTCAACTTGATATTGTCAAAATAACACAATGAAAATATTATTTTCAATGCTACACACCAGCAATAAGTTACATTAGAAATACATTCTTACTACAAAAATTTGTAAGCATTTATAGTTAGGAATATCCTTAATAAATGATATTCCTTGATTTAAGTCACCGAAATGGGGAGACTTTTAATTGCAATACCTCAGAACAGTTCATGATGTATATACCTCATCTCTAAACCATGTAAGATGAAATGTTTGGAAAATTTAAAATAACAATACTTTTTTATCTGTCATACCAAAAGTATCTTTTTGTGTCAAACCTCATTTTTTGCTGCTTTGCATTCTATGTTTTAATCTTATCCCCTGTCATGATGAGGAAAAAAGTCTCTTTGTGTGAAGGAGAGTCAATCTTCAGTAAACCATTTTACTGCCAGAAAGTCTTTTTCAAATGTGTCTCTGGATTCCTTCCATCTCTATTGGAAAACACTGAATCAAACGTGGAAGTCAACTTTGCTTTGCACTCTATAATCGAACAGTGAATTCTGCCTTTCTGTTAAAGACAGAAACAGCCTCCTCTCTGGATCAACTCAATTTAAAAGTCAATGTAAAATAAGGCATATTCAAATTAAGAAGAAAAAAGCAAACCCATCAAATGTACCAACCTTCCAAATAAAAACAGTAAAGTTAGTAGAAACCCTAGTTAGCAACTTTAAGAACCAATTCATTCATTCAAAAGAGAATCCTCAAAACTAGATATTGTTTATAGCTTGTGAAGGATTAAATAAATGTACAGCTAGAATATCAGAAGGTTTATTTTAAGAGTTGTATCACATGATAGGACAGGGAGATTGAAAACCAAGACATAGTTTAAAGTATTCCCAGACACAAATATTTTTAATTTTGATTTAAATGTGAAGCAGACTTAGCTTCCCAAGCATTACGCTGATTATAATAATTGTGAAACAAGATACTAACAGTTGTTGTCCTAAATAGAATCTGGAAACATTTGGGATAAACTATTCAGAAAATAATAGCATGTCAAAGCAAGACAAAGATATTCTCAGATAGTATCATTAACAAAACAAGGATTTTTTTCTGAGAATTACCACAGCACAAAAGGTTTACAAAATGATACCTAAAAAATTGAACCTATTTTTTAGAAATCAAATTTCGCCCATCCTTTTTTTTCCCAAGTCATTTCTTATCATATAAATATGTTGATTTATCAATTAATGAATACTTTGGAGTAAACCTTATATTAAATATTATTTTTAAAATCCTACTGCCCTAGGAACTATGGAAGGAATGACATAGATGCTGTGTTACTTCTTTATAAACCTCTAGCACCCCCTGTGGTGGGAGTCATTTATTTTAATGAGGTGGGAATAGTGAGCAGATGTTCACATCAAAGCTAATAAACAAATGTAAATTTTTATTCATCTCAATAAAAGATTTCAAAACTAAAAGAAGACTGTTAACCTTCTTCTCAGGGGAATTCCCAGCATGGTTCTGCACATTAGCTATGCCTTGATGGAACAGTGGGCGGCTAGCAAAGAGCAACTTAAGTGGTTTATCAGCCACTCAGAAATAGATTTTTTAAGATCGTTTCTTTAACTTAGTAACAACCATCCAAATGGTTTTGAAAGAATTTATCTTTCAAAATACACCCAAAGAACAACTGGGTTCCAACTACCGTTCTCCACCCCTAATTTGGTGAAAAGACCAAACCTACTGCCCATACCATTCAATTTTGTTCACTCCAAATAAAAGCCTTTTGATTGGGTCTGAAGACCTATGTTCTGCCCCATATATATAGCCTGGAGCTGAAATCTCAGGAGTCACATTGTCAATCTTGTTCTTTCATTAAGTATTTATTGGATACCTACTCCAAGGTTCAGTCATCCAGACTTATCCTCAAATAGTAGCACTAGTGAACACCAGCACTGTCTGACTGGCACTATGAGTGGTGTAAGCATAGAGGGTGGGGGCAAGTAGCTAGGCCTGGATATTGCTATATAAAGGCCTAATGCCCAGAAAAAGCATTTTTGCTTTCTTGGAAGCACAAGTGAAATTTGGGACTCGAATTTGTAAGAGTTGAGAAGAGACTGAGTGAGATGCTTCAAAAGACATGAAACTCGAAAAGAATGCTGTAAAATGTACTAAGGAATTTTAAGTTTTCCCTCAAGGCAACAGTCTGAAAACTTTCATGTGAAAGAATCATAAAAACAGATTTGTCTTTTAGTCAAAATAAAGAAGAGTGTAGAGAAAAGATGTAAGGAAGTAAAAGTGGAGTCAGAAAAAAAATTTTTAAAGATTTATTTATGCATACAGAACTGGGGTATAGGCCAGAGGTGCAGAGGTGGTGAGAGGATTCACCAGAGACAGAGTGGGGAGCAGAATAGGCCAACTGATGAAGTACACTGCTGAGGGGAGCAGCAGGCAGGTCAGGAGAGGTCTGCCATGCCATGTGGGATCACCTCCAGGGTGGGGATCGAACTCACACTGAAGGCACCACTGCTCAGCTTAGCTCAGCAGTGCAGTGCTCCAACCCGCTGTGCCACCAGAGAGGGCCAGAAAAAACTTTTAAGATACCACAACAACAGTTGGGGGGGGGGGTAAAGATGGTATTGGTGTAATCAAGGAAATGGTAATGGAGAAACACGGATGAGAGATATTAGGGAGACAGAAATCACAGCAGTGGCTGCTGGTTGGGTATGGGGATTGAGGGAGCAAGAAGCTGACTTCGGCAGTGAAACAGATGGTGGTGGACAGTGAAATAGATAGGAAGGAAGGAACACAGGAAAGAATGAAGTTTTGGAAATGATAAAGTGTTTAAAGTATCTGTGGATTCTCTAAGTGGGAGCTACCTAATGGCCAGTGAGACTTGAGGGTCTGAATCTGAAAAGACAGACGTGGGGCTAGCCTCAGGGGTTTAGGCAATTATAATAAATATTATTATCTAATTATAATTAGGCAATTATAAACAATAACAAATGTGCTGAGCATGAAGAAGAAAGTTCTGATTAAATGTGTAAAGAAGGAATAGTGCCACAGATGAAGCCCTGAGGAAAAAGAATTTTAAAGATGGACAAAAAGAGATGCTTGCAAAGAGTCTCAGGGAAATAGCCAAAGGGAAAAAAGAGATGTCCAAGGCTGTAAAGGAAGGGGCGCGGGGGGGTGAGGGGAAATGTAAAAGCCTCCAAAAACACCCACAAGATGAAGCAAGAAGGAGGTCTTTGTGCCTGTGGTGAAAGGCAGGTAGGAGAGGGCTGAAGAATGAGTGGCATGTGCAGACGTGGAACATGCAACTTCTCTCAGCAGGGAAGAGACAACAGATAGGACCATAGCTAGAAAAAGGCATGGAAGGCAAGTGAGTTTTAACGTTACATCTGTTGAAACACTGAGTGTAGACGTCACTGAAGAACTAGAGATTAGTTAAAGATACCAAAATGGAAAATGTCAAGACACGGGTGAGAGAGGACATGAGATTAGGACCCTCGGACCTAACAGAGGACACAGTATCCAGGCGCAAGTGGTGGGATTAGGTGTTGAAAGGAAAAGAGCTGTTGTTTTCTTTTGAGAAACAGAACCATCATCCTCATTCCCAACTTTCCTGGGACAAAGTATATAAAAACTAGGTCTATGCCAATTTTCACTTTTATTTTTTAAAGATTTATTTATTTATGCTTACAAAACTGTGGTATAGGCCAGAGGTGTGGGGGTGGTGAGAGGCTTCAGCAGAATGGGCAGACTGACAAAGTACACTGCTGAGGGGAGCAGTGGGCGAGACAGGAGAGGTCTGCTGTGCCATGTGTGCCACCCTCCTGGCCGGGGATCAAACTCGCACTGAAGTGGCTGCAGCTAGCTTGCAGTGCTGCATCCTTACCCATTGTGCCACCACAGAGGGCCCCCAATTTTCACTTTTTAAAGACTGATAAAAGACACTTCTGGCCTTCCCTGGTGCCGCAGCAGATTAAAGCACAGCACTAAGAGCTAAAGCCACTTCTGCATGAGTTCCATCCTTGCCTGCCCCGGAGGTGATCCACATGGCCTGGCAGACCTCTCCTGAACCGCCCGCTGCTCCCCTCAGCAGAGTACTTCGTAGATCTGCCTGTTCTGCTCCCTGCGCGCTCTCTCTGGTGAATCCTCTCACACTCCGCATCTCTAGCTTGTACCCCAGTTCTGTATGAATAAATAAGTAAATCTTAAAAAAAAAAAAAAAACTTCTGAGCAAAATATTCCCTTAATCAGTCTGCTGCCAAGTGGTATATTATAAGCTCACTCTAAATAAAAACACACCTTTCTGAAACTGGCTCAGAACTCCTGAGTGTCAAGCAGAGGGAAAATGTTTACTCACAACCCTCTGAGGAAAGGTGCTAGGCCACTGTGCTACTGATTGACACAAAGCATTTGCACTACCTGAAACCAAATCTCCTTCCTTTACCAAGACCAGAGACATCATCCTTAGGCAACTGAAGCCTGGACGAAGGAGAATTAATAGGAAAGGACGTCAGAGTGAATTCCACCAGAACTAAACAAGTCTGAGAACTTTAAATGGCAACAAGGAAACTCGATCCACAACAGACAAACAAAACATACTGAGATGTTATTTAGACTTGTCAGTGTCACATCATAGATTGAAGCCCTCAGGGACACACTCAAAACACTCACCTAGCTGTTGAGGTCAAGGTATTTTACAGACATGATTAAAGTCCACCATCATTTGTCTTTACATAAAAAAAATTATCTCAGGTAACCTGGATGAACCTGGTTCAATCATGTGAAAGAACTTAAAAGCAAAAATGAGACTTCCCTAAAGTAGATGAGACTCATTATCACAAAGGTAAGACCAGGATATGTAGAAAAGGGAACTCTTGTGTACACTGTTGGAAGGAATGTGCAGCCACAGTATGGAAAACAGTATGGAGGTTCCTCAAAAACTTAAAAATAGAACTACATATGAGCCACTAATCCCCATGTTTGAAGCTTTATTCACAATAGCCAAGCTATAGAAGCAAAATAACATGTGTTATGTAAAATCGTGCCTTGAATAACGATGGGGACACCTTCTGAGAAGTGTGTCCTTATACAAATGTCTACTTACATAATCCTAGATGGTCTATTTAACACTGAAGCTATGTCCTAACGTCACTGAAATCACCTTCATGCCTGTGGTCCACTGCTGACCAAAATATCCGAAGTAATGGGAAATAAATACAATGGAAAATTCAGTTACAAAAACAAATGCAACCTTGCCAACTGCAACCATGGGGAAGGTTATATGCTAAGTGAAGTAAGTCAGACAGAAAAAGACAAATGCCACAGGATCACATTGTACACAGAATTAAAAAAGAAAAAAAAGAACCTCAAAGAACAAATTAGCAGTTGCCAGAAGTACAGCGTATGGATAAAATAGGTAAGATGTAAACTTCCAGTTATCAAATAAATAAACCATAGATATATAATGCACGGCATGGTAACTATCGTTAATAATAATCTGATTCATATAAAAAAGTTTCTAAGAGAGTAGACTGTAAAAACTCTCATCACAAGAAAAAATATTCTGTAACTCTGTTTGGTGAGGGTATTACCAGATTTATTGTAGTGGCCATCTCACAATATATACAAATAATGAATTATTGTATCATATAACAGAAATTAACAGTTATACCTCAGCTCTACCTCTATAAAAATATATTTTTAAAAAAAAAAAGAGGAAGAAATTTGCATACAGACAGCAGTTTCAGTCCATGTTTAAGAGCTCCAGTCCATCCTCTCTTACAGCCTGCCTGGGGATTTGGACTAGCCAAGACAGCCCCACGATCACATACGCCAACTCCCCGCAATAGGTTCTTAATACATCTCTCTTACTAATTCTACTGGCCTGGGTGAATCTTGACTGATGCACATACTAAAAAGAAATGCCAGGGGCTGATCACAACTATCAGGATCTCAAACAGGCACAACAACACTGAGAACACAGATGAAACTTCGAGGAATCTTCCTGGGTGATGGGGGCAGACAAGGGGTCAGTGGTGTGGCTTTAGGGGACTTACCGGAGTCTAAGGACCTGTGATCTAATTATATTAAATCCCTGGCAGTTCCTGCAAACCAAAATAAGGCCCACACTCAAACCTAATCCACGCAAACAGTGATGGTTTGTGTGGCTTTGCACTCACTAAGTTTTACAAGCATTAGTCAAAGCACTTAAAAAAAAAAAAAACCCAGACAGAATTTTATTGGGCAAAGATCGAGAACAAGATAATCATTATGTAAAATCTAAAGCACATTTTGCATCTGCAAGAGGCTCACTGCCCGTCTCCTACTGTTGCCACAAACCAGAAGAAAAACATCATGATGAGACAGCAGTGAGATGAGACCCAAGTTTTATCAGTTATTACAAATAATTAAGCTTCATAAATCAAAAAGAGATATTGACACATCAAAAATTAAAGCTACAGGAGATCAATACTCAAATACCTTGAGGGCAACCAGTTTGAACTTTCAAAGGCTGCTAGACTAGAGCTCTAAGGCTGCTTTTTTCCCCTCAGAAAAACAAAAACCTAAGTATCTAAGCCAGTGAACCCACACCTTGGGAGTCACTATTATAAGTCACTAAATAGTAACATCTATTTGTTACTCAGAGTGAGTTGGAAGTCTCTGTATACATATGCCCAAATGGATGAATACGGATTACTTACTCATCTGATAATTTCAGCAGGAAAGCCAAATCCCACCAAGATTTAATCTCCATTATTCACAGAGGGGGAAAATATAGGATTTAAGAAAAGGTAAACAACCTGCAAACCATGTTGGCCAAATGAGGAATAAAAAAGATGAAACTGTTTTTTCAGTCTGACACAATCTATAAGTTAAACCTCTTGATTAGTCGTGAAACAACACTAGTCTGCAGAATATAATTCTCTGAGTTGGGTTGGAAGCAGAAAAGTGTATGGCAAGGCCTGTAAGGACAGGTCCCATACTTACTTATTATAGATACGTGTCTCCTGCCCACTGTGGTATTTTAATAAGCAGAACATTGTGCTAATGTTCTGAAGTACATAAAGAGCTCTTTGTCTTACCAGTTTATAACAGTTTACAGTCATAAAAAGAAAAATACTTACTTTGCTGTGACAGTACCATTTAAGCTCTTAGAATTCAAAGAACAGTATAATGGTGTTTGCAAAGCAACTTCAAATTTTGGTAATACTGGAAAAGAAAAGCAAGGATAAATATTTTAAAGAATCTATTTTACTATCATACTCAACTTAAAAAGAACAAAATTGTTCTAAAGGAACTGATATTCCAGACAGTTCAAACTTAAGATTCATTAGAATTCAAATATACATAAACATATAGAAGAAAAGCACTTCATGTCACCCAAAATTAGAAACCCCAGCAGCCAGTGACTAGACAGGGGGCCAGTTGCTGTGAACACTGGGATGGGTAGAAGCTTCTCAGTGGTAAACCTAAACTACAGCCAGAACCCTAAATGCCAGAACACCTGAGTGCAAAAACCAAGCTTTTATCCAGTTCTCACCCAGTGGGGTTGCTTACCACTGAAGAAAATACTTCAATATGACTTAGGAAATTGATGTTTCTAGAACAGACCCTTCCCTAAAGTTTTTCTTGAATTTCATGACTAAAAGCTCTGTCTGGGTCCCAAGACTCTCACTCTTCTGTGAAGTACTAACCCCTGCCCTTGAGATGATCAAAGGAAAATCTGGACACAGTCTAATATAATGAATTGCTATGAAGAGAAAGTTGTAGAGTAGGATTTCAAGTTAACTAAGATACACCACAAAGTAATGTTGCTTTTTTTTTTTTTTTTTTTTTTTGGTGTGTGGCAAGTATCCTGAAGACAATTCCAAAATTAGAACCCCTTAACTTTGGTCAATTTTCTCTAATTAAAATATGAAATAATTTACAAATAGGATCATTATTTAATAGAAATCATTCCAGCAGCATTTTTTAAAAATGTCGTTTCTTTCCAGTAGATAGAAATACTTTTTCTCTAACTTCACTGACCAAAAAAATAGGTAAGTCTCATTTCAATCTCATCATTCAATTGACATAAGAAAAATATCAAGGCAAATGGGCCGACAATACAGGGCAGATGTCCAGTGTAAGGTCCTCAGTCTGCCAAGACACTCAGCTCTAGGTCAGTCTAGCACTGGCGGACCAAAAGAGAAGCATGGGTAAACTCTGGCCTCCTCCTAACTTCCTCAGAAGTTAACAACCATTCAAAGGCGAATTTTCTCAGGACAAGGAAATTCAAATATCCCCTTCCCAAACACCAAAGTTGGCCATCCTCTCCACCATCCACCCCAATCCTGTCCAATTACATATAGCCATCTAACACCATCTCTATTTGACACAAAATAGCCTTAAAACCCATGGCCACATTTATTCTTCTACATCAGGAAAGTCCAAAAGGAGAAAAATGTCAACCACATTTGTAATTTGACATTTTGAGCATCCACACTTAAAACATAAAGCGCAAGTAAAGTTAACTTTGGTAACATTTTACTTAACCCCCACATAGCCAAAATACTGTCAGTTCAACATCAATGAATAATAAAATTACTATCAGTGAGTCCTTTTTTATTTTTTGAGTCCTTTTTATTTTATTCAAAATCTGATATGTATTTTACATTCAGAGAACATCTCCATTTGCACTAGTCACATATCTCAAGGACTCAGTATCTGCAGGAGAGGTATGAACCCGGCATATATTAAGTGAACTGAACTTCCAGGCCAGAAGCAAAGTGATGACCAACAAGAGCTAAGCACATTTTTCACATTTTTAACTTGCTGGAAAAAAATCAAAAGAAGAATATCTCATGACATTTCAAAATTAAATGAAACTCAAATGTCCATGCCCATGTTTCACGTGCTATCTTATTGGATCACAACTCCCTGTGTTCACTTGTGCAATGTCTACAGCTGCTTCCTGCTGCAATGGCAAAGTTGAGTTATGACAGAGATATATATACCCATGGAACCTAAAATATTCCTATCTGGCCCTTTCTAAAAATAAACTTTGCCACGCTGTCCTAACTCATGAGACTAGATCATGAGACTTCAATGGGATAATGCTGCAAGAGGTATGTGTGTGCCTGAGCCACAAAAGTGTAAGCAAGCCACTTCCAGAACTGTCATTGCTGAGTGAGACACGATCTCAAAAAGTGATGCAAATCAAATGAAAAAGCCCATGTACAACTTCACAACCACTATTCAAATGATAATAATGAAATCCTGTATTGTCACTGTCATCTCCATCCATTAACAAAACAATTGGGACACACTGTTTTATCTGCTTTTTTTTTTTTTTTTTTTAGCTGTATTTGCAGCTGTGGCAAGAGGACTACTTACCCAAGAGGGCTTACTCAAGACTGGCTTTACTACTGCCTGTCAAATAAGGAATATGGAAAATAACTAACACATTAAAAAAAACACAAAGAATTAAGTGACATGATCACTTAAAGGAGAAAACAGGAAAACTGCACAAGAAAAAGATGAGCAAAATGGGACTACCATTTACCCTCTTTATTAATTACAATGATACAACTTTCACTTATAAAGGAAAAATGTTTGGGCCTAGAAGAAACACCAAGTCAACTGTGATTTATACTTTAAATAATAAATCTATTGAAAATTCCTCTTTGTAGAAAGTAATAATTTTTTTTTCTTTCAAGATAAATTGAAGAACTCTTACCATATTCTGAAACCTGAAATGACTGATAATATGTCTGGTCCTATTGAGAGAAAGGAAAAAAAGACAAAATATATATATGAGTCCTTATTGAATTATTTGCTTATATAACATACAGTATGTTACTTGCCTGCATTGAAAAAATTTAGAAAATTAGTTTTTAATTACATTTAATTAACAAAAGTTTATTTTAATTTAGTAACATTGCTTTTAATCATTTGTGATGCAAAGCCTGTGGTAGTTCATGAGTTTTTCTTGCCCATTTCAAACATTAAAAAGGTGACCTGAACGGGGGGGGG